CTTACCTAGTCCGACTCAGACTCAGCCGATACTAATCGTAGCCGATCTAGACTTCAGCCGATTCTTGTTCTTTTCTCGGATCAATCTCCGCCTTCGACTCCACCTCGATCTAATCTCCTTTTCCGATGCTGATATTACCAAATTTGGTTGTTAACAAATTGTCATTTATTTTATTGTGGCTTGATTTATCATCAAATATTTTTTAAGCATGATATAAATAATTTTATATTTGTACAAAAGTTTTAAATAACATGAATAGTCAAATGTTGATAAAAAAATTAAATGGTGTTATATATATTAAAAAACAGAAACAGTAATTAATTAGACATATTTAGTGAGTAAGCCCACAGAAAAGAAGTTCTAAACTTCTGTCCCTAACACACTTGAGTCTTGAAATGTTGCGAGAAATAGTAGAGATGGTAAAATTATTTTCCTGTCTACAACTAGGTAGTATCCACAAGAATCATATTTATTGTCTTATGTAAAATTTCTTATTTTTTTCAAATATAATTGATTTTAGGCTTTCTTCCGCCACTGACCCGGCGAAAAAGAAACCGTGTGTTGGCTGGTTGGTTGATTGTTCCGCTGGCTGTGGAGCAGGAACGCGGAGTCGCCGGCGTACGGAATGGAGTAGCCGAGTAGGGACGCACGCGGTGGATCGACCTCAATCATTCACATTTTCCGCCCCAAACCTAAACAAAACCACCGACACTATGCAAAACTCACTAATCAATCCATTCAGGGCATGTTTAGTTGGTGAAATGAAAATTTTTTTGATGTCACTTCGAACGTTTGGCCGGATGTCGGAAGGGGTTTTCGAACACGAATGAAAAAACTAATTTCATAACTCGCCTGAAAACCGCGAGACGTATCTTTTGAGCCTAATTAATCCGTCATTAGCACAGGTGGGTTCCTGTAGCACTTATGGCTAATCATGGACTAAGCTCAAAAGATTCACCTCGCAATTTACATGCAAACTGTGCAATTAGTTTTTCTTTTTATCTATATTTAATGCTCTATAGATGTGTCAAATATTTGATGTGAATTTTTTGGGAAAAGTTTTCTGGGAATTAAACAGGGCCTCAATCAAGCAGGCAAGCAAAAGCAGTTTGAACCTGCAACCCACTCTTTGGGTACACTATGCTGGCAGTGTTTTGCTACGGATGTCAACACGGCTTCTGCTCCTTTTTGCATTCGCGTCACCTTTCATTTTATTTCCAAGCAGTCTCTGGCATGGCAATAGGATTTGTTTCCAATAATACTTTCTCCGTCCACAAATATAATAACTTTATAACAATTAGGTTTATCTCAAAATATAACAACTTATTTACCTATATTCCATTTCCGAACGATCACAACTTTCCACCACTAAAAATCTCCATCTACTTTTTTCTTATCAACCAATCAAATATTCTTTCATTTAATTTCACTTAATTTCTTAATATCTGTATATATTAAGAAGGATGCAAAATATTATTGTCTGAACTATGTTGACATTATTTGGTACTTACTGCTTTACTGATGCAATTGGATGTGCTGTGCCTATGAACCACTAACTCAGTTTCAAAATATAACTACTTTTGACTATGATTTATGTGACTAACCTAAAAGTAATTATATTTAGAATGGAGGTAGGATGTAATATTTCCGTTTCTAACTGCTCCTATTTTTTCTTTTTTCTTTTTCTTTCAAGGTATGTCCGGTAAAAGGCTCGTTTCGAGGCCCTAACTGCTTGCGGTCTGGTTGAGAAAGGCCCAAATTACGGTCCATCTAGGATGCCTACGAGGCCTTTGATTCGATGGGTGGTGGGCCGGGCCACTATTCATACGAGAGACAGCGAGGGCCTTGGCCTTGGCCTTGGCCTTGGCATGCGCATGCTCCTCCAAGTCAGCCCAATAAAGCCCACAGCGATGGGCCGTTGGCGACGCCTAGATGCCATCATACTGATGTTGGTAGATCGATGACGAATTGATTGAGAGACACCAAAATAAACATCACGGTCACCCACGCAGATGCCGGCACCGCCATGATAAATAGGCTTGTTCGTTTGTGCTATATTGCAGTTAGCTGCGGCATATAAGAATTTCGGTTGGATAGGATACTGCTATAATATAAAGAATTGTCCAGAGTATTAGAATATGTCTCATTCACTTTTTCAACTCTCTTCGTTTGTTAGACGCACACTTTCAAACTACTAAATGGTACGTTTTTTTAAAAAAATTATATACAAAAGTTGCTTTAAAAATTATATTAATATTTTTTACAAAGAAGTTAATACTTAATTAATCATGCACTATTGAGTTGCTCTATTAGTTCCCAACCCAAGGAGCCGATCACAGCCTAACATATGTTCCGAACACATTCAGTGATTGTTCGAGCTGTTGGGATACGCGTAGGCTACGATAGCATAAATCAAAATTTTTTATCGCGTAAACCATGAACCATGCAAGTATTAGATCATAGATCGTTACCACTCGACGCGCTGCGCAGCGGAAGAAGACGCTGAGAAGTCGAAGGAACTCTCGCGAAGTAGCGCGCGTCGATGCAGAGGAAGTAGTCGATCGCACCGGCTCGACCTTCTCCCCGTGCGTTCTCCTCGCCGTACTCCCACGCTGATCAACACCGCAAACCAGCAGTGCCTCTACCGGTATCCACACGTACAGGGACGGAATGCCACGCGCAGATGTGCTAGCACCCGCGTGCGGCTAGGGTTTTGCTCGGGGAGGGAAGTGACGGCTAGGGTTTCTCACGTGATGCAATGCCTCCGCCGGTCACACCCCTCACGAATATATAGGATCCATCACTCGGGCCTCCAAGGCCCGTAGGACTCCTATTCGGATCCCTATCCGAATTAAGCTCATATTGGATCTCCATCCAATCTCCTTATTCCGGCCCATTAAGCGTGTGACCCTGTAGTTTCATATATACTCGGCTGTAACCCGAAAACTCCTTTTCGGTCCACGCGTCAACAACGGCCCCTAGCAGAATATATTGACCCACCAGACATACATAAATATCATATCGGCTGAACCTCTAGTGTATACTTGTACGAACCCCTTTGCCTCACGATATCGATTAAGCTTAAGGCTAGATATGTACCTAGAGGCAATCACTAACACGAGCTACGATTGAAAAGTCATAAACATAATAAAGAAGCAAAAGATAATTTATATATAAAACTTTAATATACGTGTTATTAGCGCTTTAAAAGTCCACACTAATTAAAAGTAGACTATAATGTAAAAAGCAACATCAACTCTCAATAAAATTTAAAATTTATTCATTGTTGATTTGTTAATAAGTAGTGGACGAGAAGAACCTAAAGACTCTCTGAGTTACTAACGAGTTTGCAATTAGAATCGTAAAGAGGGTCGAGCTTGAATTGAAATGCTAGCGATGGCGACGCTTATGAAAGATGGTCCATGTAGAAAACGCAGCCAATCGTGCCTATTTTTACAATTAATTGTTGTCTCTATTTCTTCTCTCTGTTTCTGTTTCAAATTGATGATTGTTCAACGGTAAACATGCATGGGAGGACTTTGCATATCGTGTGAAAAAAAAAAAAAACCATCACCAGCAGCAGCAGCAGACCGGAGCCTGGAGAGTCAAACCGGCGTGAGCGAATCAGTGTTCGACACGTCACGTGGGCTCACCTGCACCATATCTTAATCCCACGATCTTCGGAGAGAAAAAAGTAAATAAAAAACATATTATAGTCCACGCGGCCTGCAAGTTCCGGACTCGCAGTGGGTGGATGGATGCATTCAGAGGAAGGGAACAAGACGAGACAGAGACAGCGAGAGCAGTAGTGAATAGTGATGGGCCATGGAAAAAATATCGCAAAAGAACAAACGAGATGAAAAGTAGATGAGAATATTGCCCTATTCGATAAAAGTGGTACTCCCTCCGTCGATTTTGAGTTTTTGTTTACATTGTTTGATTACTCGTCTTATTCAGAATTTTTTGAAATTATTATTATTTTTTTGGCTTACTTTATTATCCAAAGTATTTTAAGCACAATTTTTCGTTTTTTATATTTGTACAAATTTTTTTTGAATAAGACGAGTGGTCAAACAGTGAAAGTAAAAACTCAAAATCCCTTATATTATGGGACGGAGGGAGTATGTTTTTAAACCGCTAAACGATGCATTTCGTGCGAAAACTTTCTATATGAGATTAATCCATTTCTTAAGTTTGTAATAATTAAAATTCAATTTATCATATGTTATTACTATCTCGTTTTACGTAAAATACTTAATATTTTATCTTTATCTTTGTTACATTCAAACACTACTATGTGTAACAGATCTGATAACGATCGTTATTACAACAAAGTATAGATTTTCAAGTCCTAAATTCAATTCTAAAAGTTGGATTAAAAGTAGAGTTGTGAAGCTGTCTAAACTTTTTTTTAAAAAAGTTGGAACTATTTGGTTAGATTTCAGCTTTAGAAATTTAAGTTGTGCAAAATAGGTTCTATATTTCACTGTAAATATGTTTTCCAGAAAATGTCTTCTACTATATTGCGTAAACCACTAGTTACCTAACATATTTTTTTAGATAATAGTTACCTAACATATGTATAAGAACATTCGTTCAAAAAAAATGTATAAGAACATAGGATGATGAGACACATCATAATGCTACTAATCTGAACAACCTGTTTAAATTCATAATATTAGGATACGTGTCTTATCCGATTTTAAGTTTTTATACTTTATAATAGAGGGAGTACAAATTATTTCTTCTAACCTAAAATATAGCTACAAAGTATAGACATGGCAAAAAACAAGGAGTTTCCGCTGTCGTTGAGGCCTCGTCAAGTGCTTTCGCTCCGTCTAAATTATAACACTAAGTATGTCCAGATTCTTACTATAGCTAGGTATATTTTGAACAATAAAAGTACTATTATTGTTTGTCAAGTTCGTTTATTAATCCGATGTCAAACTCAAACCACGACCGTATATGCATGCTGCGAATGGATCCAATAGTCTCCCCACGCCGCTTACTTTCTGGGGAGCTTCCCTGACTTCCTACACCTCTGTATTGGAACTATTACGACCACATGCTCTCTTCCTACTCTCCTCCTTAGACCATACGGACTTAATCTCTCTCGCCCTAATCATCATCGTCTTCCTCCTCTTGGATCTTCTCCTCTGCCATGGCGGGCAACAGAGGAGGCGATGCCGGGGAAGGGGAGTGGCTCAAGGTCGCCGAGCTCAGGGCCACGGTGGAAGCCCAGGACCCCCATGCCAAGGTACGCGACGAGATGCATCTCATCCAATTCCAACCAAAACTTACTCCATCCGCAACTGCATGAACGAATTGAATTTACTCATTCTTTCGTTCTTTCTTCCTGCTTCGTCATTCTCCGTTTTGTTCTGCTTACTGTTCTTCCTGTTCTCTGTTCCAGTCAATTATTGTTTAGACGAACTCAGTGTGTTTTGATTACGCAGCAGAGCTGAATAAACCAAGCTGTTTTGACTGTCCAGCCATATAATTGTGTTGGATTGACGAAACGAACAGTCATGCTTAATTTGTGCGAAACCAAAGAGAATTTTTGCGTAAGAATCTTTGCTATGGACGAGCATTTAGTTCTCTCGAATCACACGCTTTTTTCTAGCTTCCACTCCTCAGCAACAGAAAGAATGAGTGTCGGATTAGCAAAGCCATGACGGGAAAGCAGGGCAACCAATCAGGCTGTCGCTATTTGTAGAGAAATATCGAATTAATTAGAGTATTACTACATCAGATTTGGCTGGCAGTTGATCCAACAGATCGTACCAGTAGTAATTAAGCGATGTGATGAGTAATTAGTGCCTTAGTGGATCATTGGCCAACTGTACAGATCACCGGATCGAGTCTGGAAGTACAGGGTGTATGGGGTCGCCAGCTGAATGAACCACGTGAAGAAGAATGATGCTTAAGGAGTAATTTTGAAGGCTAATGGAATATGCTCCCGTGGACGCACACGCCAGCCATTACATGGAGCTGGACCTACGTTTCAGGGGCAATTATATTCTCTCCATCATCGTCTGGCCAGAATAGCGGAATAGATTACAAACATTATTATAAAGATAAAAATATACTTTATTTGTCTTATAAAAACCAATTTAGTACTAGATCCTATATTAGTTTTTTATAAGACGGATGGAGTATTCAAAACATTCTTTTAAGAATATTATATACAGAAAGTTTTTTTTCCTTGAAAATTCACCACTGAAAATGCGTCGAATTCATTCATTATTTCATTTCTCAAAACAGAAAAAAGAGCATGCCAAATAATAAACGTGCTACTAATACTATGAAAGTATGCACTCCTTCGTCCAAAAAAAAAAAATCAACTTGTAGTGTTTAAATTTTGTCCCATAGAAACTAAATTCTACCATCCTACGTACCATAGCAAGTAAAATGAGAAATTTTATCTCTTTAATATCATTTAGCTACATACCATTCTTATTGCCTTTTCCAATAATTAAGGGTATTTTAGTCATTCTTCATCTCCACTAAATCTAGTTTGGGATGATATGAATGAATTTTCTATGGGAGGGGGGAAGTAGTAACTAACAACATTGTTCGACGATCGATCGGACAGGATTTGTGAATACACGATGCTGCAGAACTGAAGCGTTCCTGATTCTTTGCGCATGCAGGAAGTGGACAACCTGACGCTGAGGAGGTTCCTGCGGGCGCGAGACCACAACGTGGAGAAGGCGTCGGCGATGCTGCTCAAGGCGCTCCGGTGGAGGAGGGAGGCGGTGCCCGGCGGCTCGGTGCCAGAGGAGAAGGTGCAAAGCGACCTCGACGACGACAAGGTCTACATGGGCGGCGCCGATCGGACCGGCCGCCCCATCCTCCTCGCCTTCCCCGCCAAGCACTTCTCCGCCAAACGCGACATGCCTAAGTTCAAGAGTACGTCTCCGTTGGATTCATATTCTCCTACCATAATGACACTACCATTACAATCACTGACGTGTGGGGGAATAGAAGGTTGGAACCCATATACCGGTAACTGTAATGATAGTGATTGATATTATGGTAGAGAATCCTCGCCCATCTCTACTAGCTATAGAGTTTATATACTAATTCCTCATTTCTAAAATATACTACCTTCATCTCATAATAAGTTAATTTAGTATGTGATGTGATATAACCAAATACTACAGATTTGAATAAAATTAAGATATATCATATTCTATACTAAATTAACTTATTCTGAAATGAAGATAATAAGTGACAGAACCAGTAGTTATACGTGGGAGGTCATAAGAGTCTTGGAGGAGGCCTAATACACATTACTTAGATTAATTATTTAATTAATTAGGTGGTTATGTGTGAAAAAAGTTATTGGAGGGGGCATGCCACTGGCCACCTCCTTGTCTCCGTCATTGGAAAACATGAAAAAAAATACTTATATTTTAGAAATATAGTACTCCTTCCGTTTCGAAATGTTTGACACCGTTGACTTTTTAGCACATGTTTGACCGTTCGTCTTATTTAAAAACTTTTGTGAAATATGTAAAATTATATACCTACATAAAAATATATTTAACAATGAATCAAATGATAGGAAAAGAATTAATAATTACTCATTTTTTTTAATAAAACAAACGGTCAAACGGCGTCAAACATTTTGAAACGGAGGAAGTATTAATCTTATGTACACATAGCCTGACTTATCGAGTATGCATCCATCTTAACTATTTCGTCTTCTGCACCGCAGGTTATTGTGTCTACTTACTTGACAGCATCTGTGCAAGGTAATCACAATGGAAAATGCTCTGATCGATCGAGTTTTGTTGATTTACTGCTTGAATTAATTACTGATGAAGAACAGCTAATGCACAAGACTGACATTAAGAGTAGTTACTGAACGCTGATGATGCATATGGGTAAATTCAATTTGCAGGATCCCCAGAGGCCAGGAGAAGTTCGTCTGCATCGTGGATCTCAAGGGCTGGGGTTACTCCAACTGCGACATCAGAGCTTACATCGCGGCCATAGAGATCATGCAGGTAATATGAAAGATCATTCTTCAGTTAATTCAGCTAATTAAACATTACTGAACAATTAACAAGCATTCTTACAGATTGATGATGATTAGTTACATATTTTTCGTTGCGTTTGATTAATTCCCCCTCGCAGAATTACTACCCGGAGAGGCTCGGCAAGGCCCTGATGATCCATGTACCCTACATGTTCATGAAGGCCTGGAAGATGATCTACCCTTTCATCGACAATGTCACCAGGGACAAGGTAATGAAATCGATCAAAGAACTTGAAATCAAGTGCCAAACAAGCTCTCGCACATTAGCACTACGTTTTAATTTCGTTCTTACAATTCTCTCCTTGATTAATTTTGGTTCAATTTTCTGTCTGAAAAAAAAATGCAGTTCGTGTTCGTGGACGACAAGAGCTTGCAAGAGGTGCTGCACCAGGAGATCGACGATAGCCAGATCCCGGATACGTTGGGCGGGAAGCTGGCACCGGTTTCCCTCAAGAACAACGCGCGAATTAACCTTGATTAGTAGCGAGGCTCAATTAGCACGCAGTTATACCGATAATCAAGCACAAGATTATACACACACGTATACTATACATGGATCGATGGGATGAACAAAAGATATGTGTAATTGTGAAAAATGCAGCTCTCATATCACAGCTGGTCTCACTGTTTGTAGCATTGCCATCGTCATTTATCTCAGTAACAAAAGCTTCTGATCAGTAATTACATGTACTACTGTCACTATGACAAGTAAAGACTCCAATACTCCATATCGAAAAAATATGAAAAAGGGAGCCACGTGGCTAAGAAGTATAAATTTATAATAAAGTATGCACCATTCCTTCTAATGCTATTTGTTTAATCTAACATCTCTCGATCGCTAACAAGTACTCCTTCGCAAATAACAACTGAACTTGCAATGAATTGTTGTAAGCTCGCATTTTAAATTTTTGAAATATTAAAAACTAATCAACGTCGATGGCCGTCCTAGCTCAGTGGTAGAGCGCGTGGCTTTTAACCACGTGGTCGTGGGTTCGATCCCCACGGACGGCGTTTTTTTTTTCTCTCATGTGCTCCCTCCCCTCCCTTTTAGTTCTCACGTACTCCCACCCCACGTAAAAAAAAAAACTCAAATCTAAATATTCAAAACAGGATTTCCCTTTTAGTTCTCACATACTCCCTCCCCACGTAAAAAAAAACTTAAATCTAAATATTCAAAACTGGATTTGAATCTAAAATTCCAAAAATTCTTCCATTGCAACAAATCACTTATATTATAGATCAAATGTTGCAGTGAATTGAAACATCATGTCGCTATTTGCTGAAACATTGTATTAATATATGGTGAAACAGTTTGAAAAATCGTTGTTTTATAAGTTGTAGCAAAATATTTTATGAGATGATTTGGTTGTGTTTCAGCTTTTTAAATGATTGAAACATTTTCTATCTACTTAGTGAAACAATTCTGATCTACTTGGTGAAACAAGGCCCGATTTTTGCAAAAAAAAAGGCAAAAATGGGCGCCCGATTTGTAGGCGCCTCGCTAAAATTCAGAACACAACAATTTAGATCATCTCTAGAATTTGAATCTTCCAAATCTAAAAGTTTAAAAAAGGATTTGAATCTAAAATTTAGAACACATGTGTTTAGATTCATCTCTAGAATTTGAATCTGTTGATGTAAAAACACGAGGCATAAGAGATCTGCTTAACTCCAGTGCAGGTCCAAAAAGCTTACCTTCCGGTTCGTGAGCGTACAAGTTGATTTGATCCTGCAATCAACGAGAAATAAAGATAAAAAACCGCGGTTAAATCCATAAACGATAGCCGATCGGCTAGTTGCCGATGACATATCATTTATCTTTGAGCCGATATCATATGTAGATCAATCAGCGATCATGAATAAATAAGAAAGAACTAAATCTACTCGATCGGCTATAGATATTAACAATATATAATCCTTATGTCGATATATACTTAAATCAAGCGATTGGGATACATCGGTCACCATGCCGAGACAATATAAATCACTTGGATCGAAATATATATAAACAACAAAACTATATATATTAATAGCATAGCCGATCAGATAGATCTAGTATGTATCGGCTAATACTCCGATACCACTATATATTAAGATATCAAAGCAAGTAAAATATACAAAACAAAAGCCTAATATACTTAAATGCAGCAAGATTTTAACATAAAGGGCAGATTTAACATGCCAATCAGACATATAGGGTATGAAGTAGTTAAATCAGGTAAGATCGGCTGAAACCCCGATGCTACCCTAATTGGCAACTAAAAGCAGGCTATAGATAGAGATTCTAATCACGACTCATAAGATCAAACTCAACTAATGCAACTATAAGTATGAAAAGAAGGACAATATCTAGACAATCAAGCCGTTGGATGTTTCATAGAGTGGTAGATATCATATATAATCTAAGTCAACGTCAGTATTTAACCTAATCGGCTGCCTTCTAGCAACAGACGTTAGCCGATTGAAGGTTAGATAGCGATATTGTCAAAGATTATATAAGATATGTGATATCTCGACGAATTACATGAACAAGACTAGAGTATCATAAAGATGGAAGCACTAATACAGAGAATGCAAGCCGCCATAACAAGTTTTACCTCTAGTTGAAGATCAAAACCGATGCAGCTCAACTCGAAAGCAAGAACTCATCGAAACAAAACGAAAGTAAAGGGTGGCGATGCACCGAGATTGTATTGAACGTGTGTTCTATTAATTACATGGGGCTCAGGGTCTATTTATACCCGAGTTTAAAAAATATGTCCATGTCGGACACGACTCTTATCTCTAACAAACTCTAAGATGCTACAAGTCTTTGCGGCAGACTCTTGCCCAAACATATCTATAAGGAAATTACATAAAATATACTAATTAATAGATACAATTGCCTTCTCAGGACTCTATCCATACGTGGCAATCCTCATGAAGCACATCAACCCAATCCGACAACGTATGTCGTGTCATATTGTCGGATTCGGCTCAATCGGCTGACCTTGTCCAACTCGGACTCTGCCGATCCTGGTCGCAGCCGATTCGGACTTTAGTTGATCCTTGCTCTGTTTCCGGAACGATTCCATCTTGAATTCCACTCCGATCCTATCTTCATCTCCGATACTCAGATTATCAAATTTGGTTGTTAACAGAATCTTTCAAATCTAAAAATTCAGAACATGATTTGAATCTAAATTTCAGAACGCATGTGGTTAGGCTCATCCCTATGATTCAAATCTATTTAGGACAGAGGTTTAACTTTTGCTTGCCTTTAATGAAACCCATTTCTCCTGAAGAAAAAAACAAATTCCATTTTACGCCCCCGACTTTTTGAAAGGAACGGTTATCACATATTTACGTTTTGCTTCCTTTAATAAAACCTATGTTCCTAAACAAATGAAAAATATCATTTTACGCCCCAACTTTTTCAATGGAATGCTTAGTGTAATTTCTCGGTTTATTTTACACCGTAAACTATTAAAAACGATTCACCTTACTATTATCACTTATGTCTTAATGTTTCTTGAAATTATGGTTGTTTATATAGGTTGGAAACACTCAGATGAATTTAAACATAGATGTTTTAAATTTTAAGTAAATAGTTATGATTCTTTTAAATATGTTAGAACTTTTATAGTGGTGCCATCTATAACTCTATAAAATTTTAGTTTGAAATACGACTAGTATATAGACAAACAAAGAATAGAAATGCTAATGCTAGTAAAGTGAATTATTTTTAATAGTTCAAGGTAAAATGAGAAAAAAAAAGTTTAGGGGTTAAGTGATACATACGAGCATTCAGGTGCACATACTAACTAACTAATACCTTCAAAATATATTTTAACCATATTTTTCTATAATTTTCGCTGATATTTGTTAGTTGGTGTGTACACAGTAAGGCATGGTCTAATTCTAAAAGAAAATCATCGTAATATTATACTACAACCTTTCTAATTGCTGGGAGGTATCAACAATTGTCTAGTTCTAGGTCAAGGACATGCAAAAAGCCAAATATATGTACGTAGTTGATGGTAGTTTGGTGGAAATATAACATTCTGTAACTGTATATACTACATAGTTAATCGGAATTTGGTGGAAATTTAACATTTTGTAAATATATGTGCATAGTAGTTTTTTTAGGTAAATGTATACAGCTACATATATTGAATACGTTTCTACTATGCTTAAATAAGAACAACCACACCATCATATAATGCGTAGTTTGCATGAAAATAGTGATAGGTTCTGTTCACAGTGGATTGGGTCTTTTGTGGCTGGGCCTTTGTCATCACACCGATTATACGGCAAGGTAGATGGAAACATCCATTTTTTTCGAACACACATAAATCTTGCATGCCAATATATTAGAAGAAAAGTAGCATATATCAGTAACACACCTAGACGGTTAGAGGGGATAGGAGGGTACAATATGACATTGAAGAGCATGCTAAACTTAATGTGACTCGTGTGAGGAAGGTGAGAGAAACAAAACTAAGGGTCTGTTTGGTTCACAGCCCAAACCAGTCATCAAGTTGTGGCGTCGCCAGAGATTGTGGCGAGAGAAATAATCGCCACAGCTGTGGCGGAAATAAGCATGCAAATGAACTAGCAAAAAGTGTGGCTGCCACAACTCACGTATTAACCAAACATCAGCCAAACTGTTGTGGCAGCCGCATGTTTGGCGAGGCAATGTGTGGCGGGGATCCAAACACCCCCTAAGTAAACTAAGCTATGTGACTAACAGCCTTGTCTCAACCCATTGCCGCCCTTCTTGCACAATCTGCTCCACCACCGTCGGCACCCGTGACAGAACACGGGCCAAAGATAGGTTATTCTTTTCTTTCCACAAGTGCTAGGCGACCATGCTTCAAATGACTAATAAACTGCTAATGATAGGATTCATGTGTTCGTGACTAAGTAATGAAGACCATATTGGCGTAATGCGACATATGCTTGCCGTATAGGATTTAACTTATTTTGAGATGGAGGATGACCATTTTCTACAATACTGGTGTTAGGTACACTTGTCTTCTCACCCTCAGCATTCAAGTCTGCTAATGAGCAAGGCTAGAGACACTCGCATTCAAGTTTGCTTAAGAGCAAGGCTAGAGACAACAACAGTGGTGTTTGTTTATGAGGTCAGCACGTAAAGCGAGAAAAATATTAGCGTATGATTAATTAAGTTGTAGTTATTATAAACATGAAAAATGATTTTTTTTTGATATTTTAAAGTAATTTCTACATAGAAAAATTTCGTACGGAACACACAGGAATTAAAATCGAGGAAAAATCTATATCTTAATAGAAAAAGAATGGGCCAAAGTGTGTTCACTGGGGATTCAAAAGGAAGGATAAGGCTGAGTTCGCTAGGAAGTTAGGATTATGATTTTCCACATCAAGCAAAACGATACAGGTAATTAATATATGATTAATTGAATAGTAATTATTATAAACTTATAAATTAGGTTTATTTGTTTTTATATAAATAAACATCTATATTTTTTTTTAAAAAAACGCGTCTGTTAACAGTTTTAAAAAACGTGCCCAGAGTAAACGGGAGAGCTGCAAAAGCCAAACTCTCTACTGAACCCAACCTAAAGCATTAATGTTTCTCTCCTTTTGCACCTCCTGACCTAGGGTGTGTTCGGAACTTCTAGTTCCCAACCCCTTTCCCTCATTTTCCACGCACACGCTTTTCAAACTGCTAAACGGTGTATTTTTGCAAAAAGTTTATATACAAAAGTTGCTTTAAAAAATCAAATTAATCCATTTATTAAAAAATTAGCTAATACTTAATCAATCATGTGCTAATGGACAGCTCTATTTTTCGTGCGGGAAGATGGGTTTCCAACCCCCAAGTACCGAACACAGCCCTAGTGACCTAGAGTAGCTATGAGGAATGGGTATGCGTTTTTCCTATTATACCCTTACCAGTCAAACCACGTAAATCTAAATCATGCTTTACCTATAAATGCGAGTTTTGTTGCAATGCCTATTACTGTCGTATTTTTTAGACATTGATTTAGTAATAACAGATGCAAAGTTAAATATGAGTAGTTTAGATGATACTAGCATGATTCAAGTTTCTATTAAAGATGCACATCTTCAGTCCCTGACCCAGCGGTGCAGCTGAACACTTTAGGTTGAATTTTCCCCTCTAGGTAAAACATCTGGTTCAAAATTCAAATTCAAAACAACCAACAACAAGCAGCTCTATCTTTCCAAGAATCAAACACTATGCAAAAAGGAAAGGTGAGTCCTGTCTACCTATGGAATAGCCCCATGATTCATGAACAACGAAGGGAAACAAAAAATCTCAAATCGAAGATTGCCCTCCGTCCTGACCACTGCGAACTGGCGCGCTGATTTGACTTCCGGTTTGAAATACCACCACACCAATCGGACGGCGCAGCCGACGCCTGCAATTCGAATGACGAGCTCCCAGCCGTCCGATCTCCTGACGGCGTGAATCCCACCCAAAATTCAAACTGGTGGCAGTGCCCGTAAATTGATGCGAACTTCCGGGGGTAGCGTGGTAATTAACCTCAGCTCGCAAAAGGCGAGGAGGCGCAGCGCAGCCATCTCGCGTGCTATTTTGCTCTGCTCGCTCGCTCGCTCGTCTCCACACCTTCTCCTCCTCCTCCCACACTGCTGCGCGGCCGCCGCCGCCGCCGCCGCCTTCCGCATCGTCGCCGTCGGTGAGGTTCTGGATCCTGCGCCGTTCGTACTCCCTGCCATGTTTTGGTTGTCGCTTTTGTTGGGGTTGATTTGGTGTGAAGACTGCAGAGTTGGGGGTAGAGTGGGGTTTTGTTCATCTGGCGCGCGAGTTTTTGGGAAGGTTTTTGGTGGGTTTTTTTTTTGTTGTTTTTGTTGCTTTTGGTGTTGGCGTCGATTGGGTGAAGAGTTGGTGTCCCCCAAAAAAAGGGGCGAAAAATTGGTGGTGGAATGGGGTTTTGTTCATCTGGCGTGCGAGCCTTTGTTTTGGGGTTTTTGGTGGGGTTTTGTGTTGATTGTTCCCCCATTTCTCGCGGATTGTTGCGTGTGATTTTGTTTAGAGCAATTTGTTAGCGATGGCGTGTGGAATCCGAACGAGCGAGGTGAGAGCAGAGTGGCTGATGCAGCTTGGTTTGTCGTGTTTGGGTAGATTTTGCGGAGCTCCAGTGGATGGAGGTGATGGATTCGGTGGCCGTGATGGAGGTCTCGCCGGTGCCGAAGCCGCCACTGGAGGCGGCGCTTGCGCTGCGCCGCAGCGTTCGGTGCTTGAACAGGACGCGCCGTCCCACTTACGTGGAGCAGGAGGAGCCCAAGGAGAGTGCTGGCCGGCGGCGCGGCGGCAAGAGGAAGCGGGAAGAGGAGAAGAAGGAGCCGGTGGCGCAGCACGCCATGAAGCCGGTCAGGATGGGCGATGCAGCCTCGGAGAGGAAGCCCTCCTCGGAGGGGAAGCCGATGCCCGCAATTGCGGCGGAGCCGGTTTCTTGTGCCGGGTTCGCACGACCTGCTGCCGAGGATGATGTCCTTGGCAACGGGAAGAGTGCGAAACTGCGGGTGAAGGAAACCTTGAGGGCATTCACCAGCCATTACCTTCACCTTGTCCAGGTTATCTTTTGCACCTGAATGTTCAGCTCCATTTTAATCGTTTTAATTTTAGAACCAGTTTGGAAAGCACAGAAGAATCACATTATTTTTCAGTAGGCTAGCAGAATACTCATGCGTTGCAACTGGAATTAAACAAGAAACCCACCGAACAATATAAAGCCTAGTAAAATAAAATTATTTCTATTGTAAAATCTTCAGGTCGTATCTGTAACCATTTTGTACCCCACTTTGAAATAAATTTACCTTGTTAGATGGTTTAGGGTGCCCATCTACCTCATGGCATTGGTGATTGGTGTGGCGGATTCACCACTCCCTACCACTATTGAGATCCTTTAAAAGAGTAGTATATTTGCCATCATTTTCTGCCTTACGTTAAAATAAATTTTCCTTGTTCGATGGTTTGGGATATCTATCTACCTCAGCATTTTGGAGAACCACATGGTAGCTGTGGTTGGTGGTGGCATATTCACCACCTCCACCACCATTGAGATCCTTTAAAGAGTACTACACAGATATAGGAACTATTCAGATATCATTGCATCTGGTGAAAAAAATTATTGCAGGAACGTATGTTATCTGACAATGCACTTGTGGAATTTCAGGAGGAGCAGAAAAGAGCACAAGCGGTGTTACAGGAAGGCCAGAAGCGTCCATCAAAGCGGCCTGACTTGAAAGCCATTACAAAGGTGCTGTGTTGCTCTTTGCGTTTTGAATTTTGGGTGATATTTGCCATACACAGATATCCCCAAAAATGCCTCTCTTCCATACGGTGTTTTAGAGAAAACACATACCTGTTTTGCTTGGGTTACACTTACAACTATTGTTATAATTCTAGATGCAAGAAAGCAATGCCGTGCTTTATCCAGAGAAGATAATAGGGGAACTACCTGGTTAGTATATTCTCTTTTCCTAACAAGGGAACCTTGTGGTGTAGTGATTCGAACTAGAGATACCTGGTCTATTCTCATTTTATGTTTGCCCCATATGTATGTATCCTAAAGCAAGGATTTTCAATATAATGTCGTTCTTCTTCCTTGCCAGGTGTTGATGTTGGGGATCAATTTTATTCTCGTGCCGAGATGGTTGTTTTGGGCATTCATAGTCATTGGCTGAATGGCATTGATTATATGGGAATGAAATATCAGGGAAAGGTAAATACTGTACATTTCCATATCAACTAAAATAAATCATGTTGTACAATATTTTGTTCATCTGATAATGGAACTACAACTTACACTAGTATACTTAGTTGTATCGTTGTAGCTTGTTATTCAGACATGGCATCATTGGTTCAAGAAGGCCCTAAACACTGGATGGTTAGCAGTTCTAGAGCCTAGCGCCTAGGAGTGCCTAGACACCGCATAGAACCAACTTGACTAGGGGCTTCCTAGCAATCAGCAAGCATATGACAGAAAAAGAAGACAATTGAACATAAATATAATAGCACTAGAGTTCCCACGGTAGGGCAAGCCCCTAATGCCAAATTGCGGTGGTTATCCAGCACCAAGCGCTGACTTTTAGAACACACATAGCATTCTCTTTTAGCTTTCTCTCAGGTTTATAGTTCTTTGTTGCTGCATTTGGTTTTAATTACTTTCTTAGACCTCCTTTGGAACATAGTACTTAGATTTCTGCAGAAATTAGTTCAATTCCTATAAAAACAAAATGATAGCAAATTCAAAGTTCCAAAATAAAAATAAAAACTGCTTACAGATAAATGTTACTGTTTCTTTGGGTTTTTCTGCTGAACTAATTAATTTAGCAATTCTCCTTTAAACAGGAGGAGTATGCAAACCTAACTTTCCCACTGGCAACTTGTATTGTCATGTCGGGAATATATGAAGATGATCTTGATAAGGCAGATGAAATTATTTATACTGGTCAAGGAGGAAATGATTTACTCGGTAATCATCGCCAAATTGGCTCTCAACAACTGCAACGTGGAAATTTGGCATTGAAGGTTAGTTATGGTGGTTTTCTTTTACTACTGTATGATAATTATTTATGTTGTTTGAAGGGTATCCATTTATTTCAGTGATGATATATCCTTTTTTAAAAATTATAGCCAATTAATTGTCCACTATACGAATACCAACTATTTAAGATGTAAATTTCAGATTTGCATAGTTTCCATGAGCTGTCATTGTGGATAATCTATTCCTTTTCAGAAGATATAGGATTTATATGCATAGACGGTGCTTGTTTTCAGAATGCTTTTTTTTTGTGCTGGATTATAATACATTCCGATTGTGGCTTGTTTGACGTATTTTTGCTTGCATCTTTGAGTAAAGGCATTCTATTAAATATGTTTCAATTTGTTCGTATCTTTCAGTTTGCAAAATGTTGTTCCTTAGTATTTATGCCAATGGCATTATTTTTCTTCTGAACTTTGTTTCATTTTGACCCTTTCTCTGTTTTGGTAATATTGCAGAACAGTAAGGATAATGGCAATCCCATAAGAGTTATCCGAGGACATATATCAAAGAATAGCTACACTGGGAAGGTCTACACCTATGATGGGCTGTACAAGGTAGTATCTTTTCTTAATCTCTTCAGATATCATGTTACTTTTTTCGATAATGGAAGCTTTATTAAAACTCAGTTAAATACACCAAGATGATACATTTCAACTGAGCCCACTACCAGCCTCTGCATAGGATGCACACAGCCAGACACAAAGAAAGACCTATCTAGACCCCCTTCATGAAACAAAGATATTAGTGGCTATCAATCCGTAGACTAGATCGTGCCTCGGTAAAAACCTCCCGTGCCACCTGGTCCAAATGTCGCGATACCACCACAATAGTATCCCGAAGACCTGGTTTGTGGATGATAGCCTAGGTACGAAGCCACCGGGTGACTAAAGTAATATCATGTTACTAGCTAAAGGCCTGTGCATTGCAATGGATATTATAAGAGATAAAAGCAAAAGCAAAAAAAAACATGTTTATAGCATTGTTAGTTGATTAGGCATATAATGTCATCTCTAAAGGCAGCCATACTGAAATATACTGCTAGATCACCTCTTTTCATCCTCTTCATCTATTTCTACAAGCCATATGGTTGGATAATACAAGATAGGACGCTTATAGTTCATCAGTGAGTGGCAAGTAATTTGAAGGTTTTGTTTGTAACCCCTTACAATTTCTAGATTAGCAATTCCAGGGCCATTCATGTGTTGTGAGGACCTTATGCTTATAGCCCCACATGTCAGTTTGTGGTGTTGGAGGCAGACTTGGACACCACCAGTAGCATCATTTAAAGGAGTATAGATGTTCTAGATAAGTTCATACAAATGTGTTGCTGACTGTTGCATGCTTGGATATCTGCCAAACTACCTGTCTAAACAGTTGCTTGCCTTTTATTATGCCTGACGGTGTCCCATTTGTTAATACAGAGATAGAAATGAATTTCCTGAAACACACTATTTACACTGCCTCCGGTGATTATTTCTTCAACCCTGTATTGCAAATATGCTAAAGAATACATTCAATTAACTAAATCCTTATCCAAAGATAGTCTATTGGGGACACAATAAAAATAGTTTTGCCAATACCTCTTCTTTTCCATTTCTTCATCCCTGACGTTCATATTTTCCAATGTTCCATAGGTTGTAGATGACTGGGTGCAGAATGGAGTACAAGGGCACGTTGTTTTCAAATATAAATTAAAGCGGCTTGAGGGACAGCCATCACTGACAACTTCTGAGGTATGCTTGAGCTTGGTTAAAGCTATTTTTTTTTGAGTAAATTTCACAAAACTACATATATTTTGATCAAATTATCACAAAACTACAGATTTAAAGTGATGTATCACAAAACTACAGATTTAGCACTAAATTTATCGCAAAACTACAGATTTAAGGTGGAGTATCGCAAAACTACAAATTTAATAACAAAATTATCACAAAACTACAAATCCTTAGCACTAGTGTTATGTTTGAGTTATAAACGTGTAGGTTTTGTGATTAAATTATCACTAAACCTGTAGTTTTGTGATAATTTTATTACTAAATCTGTAGTTTTACGATATTCTACCTTAAATTTGTAGTTTCGTGAGAAATTTAGTGTTAAATCTGTAGTTTTGTGATAATTTAGTCAAAGTATCTGTAGTTTTGTGAAATTTACACTTTTTTTTTGACGGGAAAAGGCTAAATATTTAAAACACTCAGTTGCAGCAGTATCCTTTCTTTCTTAAATTTGCTTGCACTGATGTACTTCTTTGAAAATAATAGTCACTTGGCTGCATTTTATCTGTTGATGAATAGCTGAACTGAATGAATGAATATAATGTTGATTGTCCAGGTATTTGAAATTTGAATGTGTAACCCCGAAAAAAAATTTAGGACATGAATATATACTAATATATATAGAGATATTACAAAAGATTGGCATTTATTAACAAGTTTGGTTACTTTTTTCACCGCTGGTGCCCCATAACATATCTACATGTGCAGGTCCGATTTACTCGTGCTGAAGCTCCCACCACGATTTCGGAATTACCTGGGTATATGATCGAAGCTCTAAAATTTTATACATTGTCCTTGAATAATCTCAAGGCATCTCAAGCTGCCTAAGCTAGCTGTTGTTGTACTGTGAGCTGTGCATGTTTTGTTGTACACAGATAGATTACTATGTTTGGTCATGCTTTGTTTATAGTGTGCCATTCTTAGTGACGCTGATATCATGTTGTATGACCTGTGCCTTGCTACTTTCTAGGTTGGTTTGTGATGACATATCTGGTGGGCAGGAGAATCTTCCTATTCCTGCTACTAATTTGGTTGATGACCCACCTGTTCCTCCAACTGGTATGTTTCATATTTGTGTTTTGGCTATACATATTTTGGTTTTACATTAGCTCTTTATGTTTTTTCCCTTAACCAGATTACTTGGCATCTTAGCATAGTATAATATACTGATTTGGGATTCTTTATTAAATTCTGATTTCAGTATGATGCATGGTTGAAATATTATTGTAAGACCCACCAAGTTTTTAATCAAATGTTTTTCCTATTTCCAAGTATTCTATATTTTTATTAGCAACTATAGATAATACTTCATCATCATTTTTTTGTATGACATGATCTGCATATTCGGTTGTCAAAATTCTAAATATTGAGAATTATTGAGTTTATTTACTTTATGTTTACCCTTGAAAATGGCTGTAGGTTTTGTGTACTCCAAATCTCTAAAAATTCCAAAGGGCATCAAGATTCCATCTTATTGTAATGGCTGTGACTGTGAAGGAGATTGCGCAAACAACAAAAACTGCTCATGCGCGCAGCGCAATGGTTCTGATTTACCTTATGTATCACACAAGAACATTGGCAGGTAGACTGCATTTCCAAATTCCTTCGTTAATGTCTATAATATTTCATACAAGCTATTCAATCATAGTGGTCCCCATTTATAAGCATTTCAGGTTTAAAAATTTGTACACAAATATAAGCATTCCTAGAGTACCTACTTATCCCACCGATTACTAATCGTTCAAATGTTTTCCTATCTTATCCTCAACCAACCTCCCACTCCCAACCACCCATTTTTCATGAGGCCCAATAGTAATTTCTCCTCAACCTTGATCTTTGCTGAACAACCTAGAAATACTTATATTTAGGAATAGGCGCAATGGTTTGTTATCATGATGAAAATCATGTATCTCCGTACACATTCATAAGAGAGCAAGCATATTCATTTTGCTAGCTGATCATTAGTGGTCAATCTTTAGGTTGGTGGAGCCCAAAGCTATTGTATTTGAATGTGGTGCTAATTGCAGCTGCAACAACAACTGTGTAAATAGAACATCTCAGAAAGGTCTGCAGTATCGCTTGGAGGTTGGTTTCTTTTTGCTTCATCTTGTTATTGTCACATTTCATTCCTTGTTACTTAGAACTCGTGTGGGTTATTCTGTTGAGTTAAAATTTATGTGCAAAGTTGTGAACTGTAAACTATTACCTCTGTTCCAGAATATACAAAGTTTTAGAGTTGGACACGATTATTAAGAAAAATAGGTAGAATTAAATAGGGAGAGGTTGTGATTGGTTGAGTAGTGGAGGTAGGTGGAAAAAGTGAATGGTGGAGGATTGTGATTGATTGATATGGGAATGTTGGTGGAGAAGTTGTTATATTTTAGCACAAATCCTGAGTGCTAAAAGTAGTTATATTTTGGGATGGAGGGAGTAAGTTTTAGACAACAATGGGTTTTGAGGCATACTGTACTTCTATCTATGCTGTCATTTTATTTAATCTGCTAATATAGCAAAAAAAAAATTTCGAAGGAGTAAAATACATCAATGGTCCTTAAATTTGTACTTCCTCCGTTCCAAAATGTTGCTACCTAGGATGAGATTTGACCCGCAATATTTTTGGGAAGGAGGTAGTAAGAAGTTTTTTTTTTTGAGCAAATTTTAGCGAACGTCACGTTTTATGGTTGAAGTTGCATAAAACCCCAGGCATTATGACCAATGGCACATAGGCCCAGCTATTGTGGTTCTAAAGTATTTAGTTAAAATTTCAAAACGTAGAATGTATATGAAACTTTTAGTTATTGATTTCTTAATTAAGGTTGTCGGTTTACTCTTCGCTACTTTGAAAAATATTATTTTAGATATGTTGAAATCAATTGAAATTAGAATAAAGGTGGGGTTTTATGAAACTTTTACACCATAAAACCTGTGGTTATTTGCCACAAGTCATAATACCCGTGGTTTTGTGAAACTTTGACCATAAAACATGGGGTTTATGAAATTTAACTTTTTTTTTCTTCATCATGTTATTGTCACATTTATTCCTTGTTGCTTACTCTGAACTCGTGTGGGTTGTCCTATTTAGTTAAAGTTTGTGTGCAAAGTTGTGAACTATAAACTCAATTTTGGACGAGAATGGGTTTTGAGGCATTCTGTACTTCTATCTATGTTGTTACATGAAATTTGGTTTATTCTGCTGACACAACTCAAAAGTATTTTTGGAGGAATAAAATACACCAATGGTCCTTGAACTTGTAAGGTGTGACTTACTGTAGGTCCATGGACTTGTTAAAGCATGCCATACTATCTGAACTTCTCCCGGTGTTGACGTGGCAGCAGATATGGACCCAGATGTGTCTGCCATCTGTATCCTCGACCCTCTCTCATCTCTCTCCTTTCTCCCTCATCGATCATCTCTCTCATCCTTTCTCTCCCCTCCCTCATCCTCCATCATCTCCCTCGTTCTTAATTTCTTCTGTTTTCTCTGCCACATCACATGCATAGTCTTCCATATCAAGAACCAGATCACGGTCTGAAGGGGTATTGAACTGTTTCGGACCTAGATTACATACTTTTAACACGTTTAGGGGCTTGGATCTGTATTTTGCAACGTCTAGATGACACATGTTTACAAGTTTAAGGACTTCCAGTGCACTTTGCTCTTTGTGAAACATAACTCATGTTGTTTCAGTTTCATCCTTTTGATTATCTGATTCCTCTACGTTGATTTCTCTGACTTGTATACCATCAGTATTCTCCCTCTACTGAACACCACATTTCTTTAGTATTTTTAGTTCTTGTTGAGTTATATATGTGTCTGTGTCAAGGCCCATCAGGCCCATATGTACATGTATATAGCAGAGTTAGAGAAATGGAAAAATGAGTGAAGCTTCCAGAGAATAGAAAATCTTCAGTTCTCACTCCATGCAGCCACTGCATTTTTAACTAATATTACTTCCTCTGGTCACACAAATATGTTATTTTGGATATGTTTCAAGTCAAACTTTAGACATTAGCATCTTTTTTAACTATTTAGATTAGATTCTTGAAAGTCATATATGTAAAATTGTCTCAAAAATCACTTCCGTACTATTATTGTTTTGCTGGAGTTTTCTTATATATTGCATTAGATAGAGATCAAAGTTGTATGTTGGGGACCATGTTGATGTAAAAAATCAACACGTTTTCAAGACAGGAGGGAGTATAACTGTCGATAGGCTGGGTCAACTCGCAACAAGATCCTAATGTTCTGTTAGAAGCGGATTGATTCTCTTGTTAGCATTTCCTATCTTGCTGCATGTTGTTTAGCAAGCTTTACTTCTGTATTCAGGTATTTAAGACAGCTTCAAAAGGCTGGGGTGTCAGGACTTGGGATACTATCCTCCCTGGGGCTCCCATCTGTGAGTACACTGGTGTGCTGAGGAGGACTGAAGAAGTAGATGGTTTGCTGCAGAACAATTACATATTTGATATTGATTGTCTTCAAACTATGAAGGGTCTGGATGGAAGAGAGGTACTTATTTTCTCTTTCCTCAGTACTCAATGTTGAATCAATCGTTCAATTGCAATCTATCATCCCTTGCTGCCATTGTGTGACATCCTTAATGTCACTGTTCGGTGCTCAACTTTTGCTCCTTCGCAAAGTGAAGTACTGTAAATACTTATGTTTTCATTCATGTTGAGATATCAATAAATGCTGCTTTGCACAATTTCCTGACTACCAGCTACCTTTATTTCTGCAGAAAAGGGCTGGCTCTGACATGCATCTGCCGTCTCTTCATGCGGAGAATGATTCAGATCCACCTGCACCAGAGTATTGCATTGATGCTGGCTCTATTGGCAACTTTGCAAGGTTTATAAACCACAGCTGCGAGCCTAACCTTTTTGTCCAGTGTGTCTTGAGCTCCCATAATGATGTTAAGCTGGCAAAGGTGACGCTCTTTGCTGCTGACACTATACTTCCTCTTCAGGTCAGCTTATTTCAGCTCCTTATGGTTTCTGCAGTTACAGCTATTTATATGTTTTGTCCTGACCAGTGACCACCATTGCATTGCAGGAGCTTTCATATGATTATGGCTATGTCTTGGACAGTGTTGTTGGGCCTGATGGAAATATTGTCAAGCTGCCTTGCTTCTGTGGTGCACCGTACTGCCGGAAGCGACTTTATTAGATCTGCACCTGTTTGCATCTATTTGGAATATGAACCACTCTAAACTATAATATATAGTAGTATATGTATTCAGTGCCAGGCGTGTAAATGGCATGCTGGAAACACTATGATATTTTGCAGAAGATGAGCATTCTGATTTTTTTGTAGAGGTCATGTTGGAGATGCTATGATATTTAGCAAAAGAATAGCATTCTATTTTTGTGTAGAGAACATGCTATGATATCTTATAAACAATTAACCTATATATCTAAGTGCTGATTTAACCCTCATGGCCATTTACTTGTTCTTCTTCCTGCTCCATGCTTGTGATGTTCATGCGACAATGTGTTTCTTCCTGGACATATTTATGTTCTTGTTCGAATCGGTACAATGCAATTGTTGATGTAAGTTGCATCCGGTGCATTTCCTGCGTACCTTAAATTTCTTGATATCGCAATGAGCATCTTGGATTTGTATTGTATTTGGTCTCTGCCGTGTTGCTGCTTGCTTCATTTGCAATGCCAATGCCCAATACTAGCAGAGCTGGAAATGCTCAAGAAGAAAATGGTAAGAAGTAAAGATTCAAGAACATTGCTGGTTGCTGCTATACATTGTCAGCCTGTCATGTGCAATGCTATTTATGTCCTATTGATTGACATGGTTAGTGGTATGACATGATTATTTGGCCTAATGAACATGCTTGTTATGAGACGACATTAGCTGTACTAGATTAACTTCTTGCTAATTTTCTTTGCCGTAGTTATGATTCGCCAGTAGAATGACACTGATTTTCTATGGCCTCTTAGTTGGATGAGATAAAAAGAGATGAGTATGATGAGATTAATTTCTTGCCTGTTTCTGCTGGATGCCAAAATTGCAAGCTTTGATTCCCGATTTAATGGCGGCGATGGCCGCAGATAAATCCCAGCTTGGTGGATCCCTCTCGATCGATCGAGTTCCGGGAGGCAGCAGCAGCAGCAGCAATGTCGGGCGCCGCCAACGCGACCTCGCCGGCGGCGGGCGCCGGCACGCCGCGGTCGCGGCTGCCGCGGTGGACGCGGCACGAGACGCTGGTGCTGCTCCAGGCGAGGCGCGCCATGGAGCACCGCGGGCGGCGGTCGCCGCAGCCGGTGAGGCTCAAGTGGGCGGCGGTGTCGACCTACTGCCGCCGCCACGGCGTCGAGCGCGGGCCCATGCAGTGCCGCAAGCGCTGGGGCAACCTCTCCTGGGACCTCAAGAAGATCGTCGCCTGGGAGAAGAACCTCGCCGCCGTCGTCTCCGGCGCCGGTGACAACGCTGTCGCCGCCGGCGAAGGCGAAGGGGAGGCGCCGCCGCCGCCGCGGCTCGAGTCGTTCTGGGACATGCGCGGCGAGCAGCGGCGCGCGAGGCAGCTGCCGTCGTCGTTCGACCGGGAGGTCTACGACGCGCTCGTCGGCGGCCACGGCGCCGCGCCGCCGTCAGACTTCGGCGAGGACCTCGCCGACGGCGACGGCGTGGACGCCGACGAGCTGCCGCCGCCGCCGCTCATGGTCATGCCCATATCAGGTCAGAACACCACCCCCACTTGTCCATTTGTATTTTTCTACAAAAAGAATGCGTACATTTGTACACTTCACACTACGTATTGTACGTATTATCTGCGTGTATATACGGTAGTTGATACGTTTGGCTTGCACTGTCTTGTACGCAGCGAGGAAGTACGTGCCACCTACTGCTTCATCTCAACAGGAATGCTCTGATCCAGGTGTCATTTTGCACGCATTTTTGTCCATCAAATTTTATCATGTTCATAGACCAATCATGTACTACCTCCGTTTCTAAAATATAAACATTTTTCAACTCTGACATGATTTCCAAAATACTACTTTAACCATAATACATATAAAAGTAAGATATTTTAAATAAAAAGTGTTGCATATTATAATAGTTTTTTTTACACGACAGAATTTTTTTTATTATTAATTGTTAAAGTTAAAAATATTTGACACGTTACTATATTAAAATAATGATTATATTTTAGGAATTTTCAAACTAAAATCCAATTCAAATGGCTCCTTTTTAAACTAATCCTATTCATAATTATTGGTGTCTATGTTTCTAGCTACGGTGAGCGCCAAGAGAGGCGGCGCGGCGTCAGACAAGAACTCGACGTCGCAGCATGACGGCGGCGGCGGCGGCGGCCTGAAGGACAGCGAGGCGACGTACGGCGCCGGCGTCGGAGGGGAGGAGGGCACGACAACGGCGACGGCGACGGCGACGACGACGAGCATCGGGAGGCAGGTGATCGAGGCCCTGGAGAGAGGGAACCGGATGCTGGGCGACCAGCTGGAGGCGCAGCGCGCGGCGTGGGACGCCGAGAGGGAGCAGAGGGTGGCGCTCCTCGCCGCCGTCGACAAGCTCGCCGGCGCCGTCTGCCGGATCGCCGATAAGCTCTGACTGAGCAACCGCAAATCCATACGCTACTACTATACTAGCATGTAAAATACTCTCATTAAAGGTTCAGATCAGGTTACAGATTATACTGTTTCAGTTAACCATGATGAACTGCGTTTCAATGAAATTGTGTGGTTTCTAGGTATGAGCTACTACCTGATTTGAACCCGCACGCAAAATAGAGTAATTCATTAGTATATGATTAATTAAACATTAACTAAAATATATTTTAAAATATATTAATATATATTTAAAGTAATTTGTAAAATATTTTTTTTAAAAAAACATCTTAATAGTTTGGAAAGCGTGCGTCCGAACGATGAGAGAGCAGATGTTAGAAGTTGCTAAGGATAAGGGAAGTCTTGAGTCTGAATTTCAGGAGAGGTGATTGTGTCTGAGACTCTGCCATTTTCGATCTTGCTTTCATCCGTGACATTGTTTTTGTTGCTTCTCGACAGACAAGGATCAATCAGGTTGAGTGATCGCTTACATGACATACACTTCGCCTGTACAAATTGATAAACGGTTTCACATCTCCTACGTGAATCTGAGAGCGATGCAAGGCACAAGCACTACCACTGAATTCTGAACTTGACTGAAATTTTCTCATCAGTTCTTGGGCTGACATTGCAGGACAGATATATAATCTGAGATTCTGATTGGTTCGATGCTTGTTGATCAAGCGGCGAGGTTTGGGCACCATCGCGCGTGTCACGGTGATATCCCCATCACTCGATCTTTTGGCATCTTATCTCTTGTTCTTGTCCGTCTTTGAGCCTGGATCTCACTTTTGCTCCTGCATGCTGTTGCTTTTCTCAAAAGGCAGAAGCACCAATCTTTGGCACCTCCTATGATTAGCATCAGTGCTGTACTGAACTTTCTGATGAAATGCTTTACTCAATTTATCTACCCAGGCCCGGATTTATCATATGTACTCTTTCTTTTTCTTTTTTGTTTTTTAAACAAAGCCAGAATCACTGTCTTGTTTCATTGATAAAGAAGAGATACACATCGATCTCCAAATGCACCATCTTACAAGCACCTCAAGAACATTTTCCAAAGCTACACTAAAACACCTGAAAACACCAAAATTTATCATATGTACTATTCTAGTTGTCTTCTATTCTTGAAACCAGTATAATCAATTACAGCATGGAAGGCATCAATCTGAATGTGAACTTTCACTCGTAGCTGAGTTCACTCATTGCACCTCCAATACATGTACAAGCCTTCCATCACATCACATGTGTTCTTTGATGTGAAACCTGCACTTTCAAGGGAGCATAGCTCTGAACATTTTGCCCTGTTTGTGATCAGAGTGAGTGTACTATAAACCCAGGTAAAAACATAAAGTGTCTATCATCAAGCACAGCATGTGAAGGCGAATATTCAGTCGCCACTAATCCCTGTCCCCCAAGCGTATTGCACGGATGCAGTTCGTTAACGCTTCTGTTGTTCCATTACATTTGGCGTCATTGCGACGCTGAAAACATTCTCTGAATTTTCTGAAACATTTTGCGAATGTTGCATATGCCTGACCAACCTCTTTGTGTACTTCAGTACTAGCTTGTACCATTAACTATATATCTGGTTGTATTAGGTCCAAATTAACATTTTTTAGGTGAACATGTAATTAACTTTGTTATCCTTGCAATACCACCTCTAGGCTACAACTTTGGATGCATCTGATGGCAGCGAGAAAAGTGTCTCCTGGCTGGCGTAGTACCCTACATGGATCCGATTCTCTAGGCGTGTTGGGCGTTGGTTATACTGATCGAATAAGTACTTTGCATCATCGTTAGCTTGGCTGAAAACGACATCCATCCACTGGCTTTGGTTTGGGTAGTGTTGGGTTGGGTTGGGGTCGTTCAGAGTTTCAGATGGTCCTAGCAAAGAATAAAGTAAGCAATGAACCCTCAATATTGTACACTCTAGCATGTTCTTTTTCGATTAAGATACAATTTTATCTTGATTTCCGTTAAAACGTCTTTTAAACTGTAAAACGATGTATTTTGTGCAAAAACTTTCTATATAGAGATTGCTTTAAAAAATAGATAAACTCAATTAATAACGTGCTAATAGCTTTCTTGTTTTGTATGTTACCTTGCAAATAGAGGATTTTATAATGCACAGTTATGGGCAGAATATACACATTTCCTACCATCATACGTTATTTTCAATCAAAAAGAAAAATAATAAAACATGAGAAAGAAAGAAATTGCAAGAAGAAACTAAAGAGAAAAATAAACAATTAATCGAGCAGCTATATAGCTTCTAGATATATCTATATATATTAGTAGTATATAAGTAACACTATATGTAGACTATAGTATGCACTAGATAGTAGTAGTTGCTATGAACTGTAGCATCGTAGAAACCAGGCCAGCGTCCTGGCGCTGTCATTGCTCTGAGAAGACGATTTCTTCTCCCAGTTTGCAGCGATTCCCTTCTTGTTTTCCTCATGCTTCTTCTTGTGTTGCTTCCTCTTCTTCTTGGTGTGCACCATCGTCCCTCTCACTGTCACCTCCTTCTTCCCAAAATCCACCATGTAATCTAGCAACCCTGCTAATTAATCAAACAGATGGAAAATATCAACAACAGATGCAGTAATTAACTGACAGTAACACTAGCAGTGATCAGCATGCTATTCACAAACAGTTCAAACATGATATCTCTGTATCTCCATGCATGTTTCTGTCGGTGCAATTTAACCTTAAACTTAACGAGTTCTCAGGACTGAAGCTATGTATGTGATGTATTTATCGGGTCTTCAGATTTGATGTGACCCATCGATGCTCTCTTGTCGATCTCATAGAACTTTCACAAGGGTTATTAGATTCTCACCGTTCATCTTGGAGACAACCTTTGTGACCCGCTGTCGGCAGTGCGAACAGCCCATGTTGGCGCTCATCACCACCACCTGCACCTGCAGTTTTCAGTTCCATTTCACACAATTAATCCCACTAGCAGCCTCCATAAATACCATCAATTCTTCATTATCATCTTCTGTATTTGCATTGCTTCTAAGTAATCAGGAAGTTAATTAAGGGACCACTCTGCAATAATCAGCTATGTATAACCACTTATTGATCTACTAATTAATTAAATTATACCACTACTTTATTAGTGGGTTAGGCTGGTCTTACACTATCACTGTTGATGAGACTCACTAATTAAAAGACTAGTTAGAGCGACTACGTGTTGCCAATGGATACATGTGTGGTCTCACTCTCACTTAACCATTAATCTCCATCTTTCGCTAATTGGCACCTTGACAATATGAAGGTGGTCCTCTCCTGTCCTCTAAAAACCACATGAGAGCCACTATTGACCTGCATTGTTAAATTCCTCATCTGTTCTTGTTCAGTTTGCTATGGGCATACATACAGTTTTAAATTTCTGTCCCTGCTTCTATGGGATGCATGCATAAATACTACATGCCTACATGATATGCTAATATAATTAATCCGAGCACATTGCACATAGATTATTATGTAGTACTTGTGCATCACGTGTAGTCCCTACTCTACCGTTGTGATCATCAGTCTGCAGGCTTAATTACCTGCATGGTGGGCAACAGCATGTGGCCTCTCATACCCTATGGTCGGGTGGCCAAAATCATTGACATCCATAGATAGCTAGTCGAGGCAGCAAGTAATTAATTTATTTACTAATCCGATGGGAATCTTACTAATATATTTCTTCTTAGCTGTAATCTAAGGGTGTACGACATCCATGCCAAGCAATTCCAGTATTCTACCTATATAAGTAGTAAAATACATGAGGTTGGAAATGTGAACTTCTCTACTGTAAAAAGAAATAGTAAAAATGCAGGAACTAATACACGTATAGATAAAGATTGGTCAGAGCTGTACACTCTGGCTTAGCTATGAAACGGTCACTAATTTGCACGGACCAGTATAAAATCCGTGCACGTCAGCACGTGCATGTGGTCAAAATATACGTAGCTGTTACTGGCATTTAGCATGTTAATTATTACGATAACGATGGATGAATGGATGAAATGGATGTATTGCCTATAATTATTAGTTAATTCCGTATACATGTACTCTAGGTCAAATAAAACGTATTGTGCCACATGTGCCGAATTTGACTAGAGATACAGAGTACGTATGTGAGAATAGATCTTTTCTTAATGTAAATATAAGTACAGCTGTACGCACGCATGAAGAAAGACAGACTAAGTATTTTTGCTATGCCAATGGATGCTACAATCGATGGATTCTGATCGGACGGTCGAAAGAGAAGGTGAAAAACAACAGGTAGAAGTTATTCTTTGTTCTAAATATTTCTTTATGATTCTTTTTCTAGAGTAAACGGCTCCATCCCTTGTGAGGATAGGAGACCACGTGACTGCCAGGTACTTGGTCAAAAAAACTCAGAAAAATTCAGGCTTTGTTTTGCACTGCATCCCATTACCAAGAGACAGCCATTTAGATGTAGATAGTTAATTAGAAAATGGATTTAATTAATGAGATCATTCTTTTTTTTTTGAGGGGTTAATGAGATCATTCTGATCTCAGCAGTTTTGTTCCTGCTCCTAGCTAGAAGAAAACTCTGTAGCTACTGCAGTGCAATTGTTTGGTTGATTGATAGTCCCTTTTTAACCTTTAGGCTAAAAGCCTGAAAGTTGAGAGGTACTAAAAAGTGACTGAGAAATAGGGGCCCAGTATCCGAGGAGATAAACTATGGTCGTCACTCATCACACACATCTCAATGTGCAGGGGACACAGGATGTAATGGCAAGACAAAAGGCAGTAAACAACAGCTGACATTGGAGGTGCTGATGCATTGAGAAAGGGAAAGAGATTCTGGTAGGAATTCTGTCATTGCCTATTGCTATGCATGCATGCACCAGGGAGGGAGAAGAACAATGGGGTTCTGGAAAAGAATCGACTGATTCAGAAAATTACTGCTAGTAATCTACTGGTCTGTGCACCTAATGGAACAATTAACATCCTAAGCAAAGGGAGGAGAACATCAAACTTAAAAACTTTTTTTTCACCACAACGATAGAGACTTCTGGGTTTTGTAGAACTAGAAGCAGAAGAAGCATTAGAGCTTTTAGATGGAAAAAATGGAGACATGATGGATGAGAGAGAGAGAGAGAGAGAGAGAGGAGCTTACAGAAGGGAGGGAGAGGTCCTCGACGAGCCTCAAAGCTTGCAGCTTGGTCGCTGCACCATTCTTGGTTGCATCTGATTCTCTGGTAATCCTCTTGCATCGGCTTGCTCTGTCATCTTCTTCCCCTCCATTCTCCATGCTTGGCTTCAATTCTCTTGGGGTGGAGAAGAGTGGAGCTTCTCTCTTGTCTGAATGGGAGTTGAGAAAAGCTTCGCTTTTTATACTTGTCCTGATGAGAGGAGAGAGAAAGAGCAGCAACAGGTTATGGTGATTAAGAGACCCCACTAAGTACTAACTGATGGGAAAATATTTTAATATGTACCTGAATATAAGATTAGGTGCATAAGATGGAAGGTGAACTCCATCAATCGCACAAGTGACACAATCAGATTAGTGGCAGCATGACAATGGGAATCTACTGTTCCAAGGTCCTCCATTTTCATTTGGTTGAATGGCAATATATAATGTCAGTTGTCATGGAGACTGGTGGCAATTTCCACTAGTAAGTGGCCCACTTTTGTATTGGATCCCTGAGCCTTTTTTTCACCCTGTCCACTTCGTGTTAGAAACAACAAACCACCGCAGTAGAGGTTACTTGCAGTAGGCTCCAATTCAAAGGTAAGCATTACAACAGTTAAATATTCAACAAACGTTGTTTCTATGCAAGCATTTCTGTTAGGATTTGGTATATTTATTTTCTTGCAGACAAACTTTTGTGTTTATTCTACTATCATGTAAGGCAAAATAGTTCAAGTTCTTGGCACCTTCTAGCATGCCAGATTAAAAATGCAATCAACGGAGTTGGTATTGATAAAAAAAGGTGAAAAGAAAAGGGATTGGAGCAATCTAATGGAAGAATCAGGGTGCTGTTTAGGTATACCTCCGGCTATGTTTTATTGTCCTTGAGTATATCCTTAAAACTATGAAAAAAAGTCAGAACAAGAAAGAACAAAATTTAGGGCTCTTCTGTAGAGTAGGCAAAGAGGAACTGTCAACTATTACACCTCTCATAAACACTAGAATTAAACCAAAAAAACAAGATCATCACTGGCATGCATTCAGTGTCCACCTGCATCGAAAGTGCGGTATTGTTTGAATCAACAAGGAAGTCTGTGGTTTGGTGCTCTTAATTAGGTTGTTATCATTGTTGATAGACAGATCTCAACAATCCAAATGGCTCTGGTATTGCTTGACAGTCAAACAGAGAGCTACATGAGCCCAATCCAAACCGGCTCAAAGCATTTGAATCAAGATATTTTTCAAAAACGTCTAATGAGAGGCTAAAGGATTCTAAAAGAAGGGATCTAAAGCTCATCGAATCTTTGTGGATGATCCTCATTGACAGACACACGTATTAAATCCCCCTTTATTTTCTTGATGTATACTGTGCTTAACATCCATTTTTTAAGGACAATCTGACATGACACCTAACAGCTTTGAAAACTTTTGGTTGCACATTAGAAATGTATGGAACAAATCACCATATATATCTGAAGTACCAAAGAGAAATGCTTAGAAGTACCGAATGTTAAAAACAAGGGGCATGATATCTTCAAACATTCTGCTCTTTCTGAGCACGCTAGTGACCAAGATTGCCCTCTCAGGTTTCAACATTAGCTTGAACAATCATTTCCACTTCGAGCTTACCCACAACTTGTAGCTTCCAGAGTGACATGTTTCCAACGCCTGGAATGGATAGTACATGAAGCAATTGACCTGTAAACTTGCACGTTAGTACACGCCTCTTCAATCATCATAAATCCATTTCTCTCTGTAATTCATAAGTGTATATCTCCACAGTTCGAAGCCAGGAAACTTCAGAGTTGCATGTATCATGCAAAGCTTCAAAAAACAGTTGCGTTTGAGCACAAGGAAACACATAGAGCACCATGAATTCAACTACCTCTGTCTTTCTTAAATCTCTCAAGGCAGTTGGAAGTAGGAAACTTCAGGTTTGCATGTAAAGAAATATTTAAAGCCAGTTGCACTCGAGCACAAGAAAAACAAATACTTCATGTCAAGAATTCAACGTCATCAGTTTAGCAGAACAGCATGTTAGTACTTGCTGGACAAAAATAATGGAGGGAAATAGTAAGTTGAATCCATAAGCGTATGTGGACGTATGTGGACAACAATAACTAGTAGCATACTTCCAAGACGACAGTACAGACTACAGTTAAACTCCATAAAAGTCTTGATAGCAAAAGGAGAACTATATGTTATTGTCTATTTTAATCTACAATTTCCTTTGAATAGAAGGAACAACCGTACTAGGTTGAAATTGAGCAAGAAACCCATGATACAAAATTCAGTGCCTTTTATGCTTAACGATTTTATCGCAAAGTTAGAAATACAAGTAACAGTAAAAAGATTTAAGCAATAAGCATAGAAGAATATCATTTGATTTAAGTAAAACAGGCACAGGTACACAACAAAGCTTATAGCCTACAGGTAACTAATGGAAATAACAGGTCAGCTCAAAGGGAATGTTCTTTAGTATGGTTCTATTAACTTGATGTAATCATCTGAAATCAATAAAATCTTCCTTTTATCTTAAACAAAAAGTACTATCGAAAAAGGACCTGTTGCACTCGAACAATGCTTGTTCGATAACACAACAAATCAAATAATTGAGCTGACCTCCTTAATAAGCAATAAGGTAAACAAGTCTGCAGAAAACGATATTTGTTTCTCTAAGTTTAACAAACCAGTTAGACATATTTTATTGTTCCTAGCAGAACTGTCTACAAAGATATGTTGGATGCCCTCATGCACAGGGAACATCGACAGGCCTCTTATCAATTGGTGGTTGTGTCTTTGCTTTCTTAGGCAAAAAATGCAACATTAGCAGAGTCCAGCACACCACCGACATTTTTCATCCAATCATTTATGCAAGAAGGATTTTTCATCCATCGGTTTTTCACCCAGAAGAAGCCAGAAGAATAGAACTACAGAAGGGTTAGTCCTCAAAGAAAGATATCTCCCCACTGGTCAGCCTGTTAGTAGCCATTAGAAATAACACAAGAACAGTGGCACGGGAAATGCGCAGTTGATGGCATGCGAAGGGAAAGATGATGCTGCAGGGTACAAATACAGAGTCAGTTCACCAAAAAAATACAATATCAATTACTCAGTTCAGATTCAAGAATTCGGTGGCACCCAGATACAAGAAAATGCTTCAATATTTGCATTCAGGAGGAATGCGATTTCAGTTATATCGGAAGATTTGCTCAATAACAATACAAACATGTATAGTAAATTGGAAACCAGTTATGTCAAATGACTGTTTGGTGTCATTTTGTCAGCTCATTTCCAAGTTCTAAGACCAATCAGTTCTGATCTGTGATTACTAAATTAAAATGCAGAAGAAATGTCCACTGTGCCAGGATACAAAATGCAGGAACATCTGAACAAACAGCTCTTTTAACAGACAAGATAATCATGACAGACACAGATAGAGGCAAATGATTCTATTAATAACAGGGTGAAAGAAGAAGATCTGGTCATTACAATTATCTAAAACTCTAAACATTTTTTGCTACTTCCCATATATATTAATCTATATTCCTGAGAGGAAGGGCATTTGGTTCCAGATGCCATGACCCTTTTGGTATATCACGGTCTTTAATTTCAATAACTACATAAGCAGGAACACGATGGGAAAAGCTTAGCATTTCAGACCTTGAAATCAACTTTGTCAAATGGAAATCTTCCACTATTACTCTCTGGAAAAAGGTTAAACAGCCTTTTACCCGAGTCAGCCTGCATACATTGACTCCAATTTCATCTGAGTAATCAGAGAGGATCTCAACCATGCGAGGTTCACATTTGTCGATGTCAGCATTACTGAAGGCTATCTTCCAGTTTTTGTACATTGCCCATATTTCTCCTTTCTTTGGGAAAATTCGGTAGAAAGACCTCTTTGCGCTCCAGTCACACTCCACCGGATGAGAGAATTCTGATATCTCTTTGCAAGCAGTCTCACTACCAGCTCGAAACACCCCACAAGCAACTGGTAGACCATCTTCAACCCAATGTATTTCTTCATTGAGCATAGGGTGAGGTTCCAGCTTCAACACAGAAACTGCAGTATGGGATACCACACGGATTACTCTGACATACAACCTTGGCATTCTATCCGGAGCATCATATACAGCCCAGATCTGCCCCTCCACAAAATGCTCAGGTGATAACTTATTATTGTAGTTCATCATTCCTTGTTGGGGGTTACCTAAATCCATTTTGCTGGTTGAAGGATTTGATAAGTGTGTGGCAGCAACTTCATGAAAACCATTTGAGTCATCATGTAAACCTTGAAGAGGGTACAAAGGAGCAACACTTGCTGATGTATTTTCATATTGCAAGTTTTCTGGAACAGCAGAATGTTCAAGCTCAAACACCGTTCCAACATCACAAGTAAATCTAAATGAAGGAATCCTGTGAGAAAACATGAGCAGATTATGAATGTGGACTTGTAATAACTGCTCTCTCCCACTCCTCACGTGCCTCTGGAAAACGCTTCTATATCCATCTACCTTTACCAATTGTGCGACAGTGCAGCCTGAGCCTTTTAAATAACTGTTAAGAATTTCTACAACATAAAAGGTGCTTTTCTTCCGCATCCCAGGGTCATTGCACCACCCAATGTCCCAATCACTGTAGATTGCCCATACCTCCCCTTCCTGGGGATAAACTTTAAGATGATGATTCCAATTGTCAGAAGATATCTGATGACATAACATAGTTGGACAAGTTACCGATATTTTACATTCATCCGCAATAAAAATTCCACAAACAAATGGCAAGCTTGCACTAAACCACCTGTTCTCGTCATGGGATTGTGGGGATGGTTTGAACCATGAAACATATAAGTGCTCTTTGTCAGCCACAATCTTGTTAATCCGTGCATATCTGCGAGGGAACTTCTCCCAGTCATATGCTGCCCAAATCTGACCAGCAGCGAAATTCACTATCTCCCTATCATTCTCAAAGTTATGAACGTCATATTGTGTAATAGAGCAAAGCTCGTCTTCTCTGTTATCCAATGGATCAGTAAACCTGTCATCCAAATCTACATGTGGCGATGACACACAATGCACATCCTTTTCGCACACACTCTTTTGCTTCTTGTCAACATGGTTCTCATCAGGTAACTGAAAACCATCATCAGCTAGAAAGCATGAATCAGTCCTCTTAGTTTTGGAAGAGCTAGCAACATTTGAACAATCGCCCACATCCAAACATGATCTGTCAGTCTGTTGAGCATATGAAGGCACATTGTTTGAGATGCCAGCCACCGCATTACAGTCTGCCTCAAGGCTGCTTAATCTACCCAGTTCTGCATTCGGATAATCATGAGTTGATCTATCAGCAGCGCAAATCCCTTTCGTTTGTAAAATGTCTTCGCACCACAGCTCAACATTTGCCACCGTAGAATCATACCGCACCTTCTTCGCCGGATCAGACAGCACGGCGTACGCATCGTTGACGAGCCGGAGGGCAGCCTCGGCGCCGGGCAGGTCGTCCCTGACCGGCTCCACCTGGCGCACGATGCTCCTGTACTGCGCGTCGATCTTGGCAGCGTCGTCGCGGGGGAGGACCTGGAGGATCCTGTACCAATCCACGCCGCGCCCGCGGCCGAGGCCGGGGCGGCGCGCCCGCGTCTCGGCGGCGGCGCAGAGGACCTCGAGCACGGAGAGCATCTCGAAGGCGTCGTCCAGCCTAGGGTTGGTCTGGAGCGTCTCGAGCAGCAGCGTCCTCGCGCCGGCGTAGTCCTCCCCGCGCATCTTCGCCGCGATCGCCTCCCTCCCCGCCGCCGCCTCGGCGTCGCCGCCCATCCCCTCCCCGCCGCCGCCGCCTCAGAATCCTCCGCGAGCACACCACCTGTGAGACGGAATCCGATTCAAACGCGAGCATTCCGTCCCCAAATCCAGATCCCGGTGACCAAATTCCGCCGCATTTGAGCCCATGCTGCAGATGTGAGGATGGATGGATTCAATTCGAGAGGAAATTGGGAACGGGCTCTTACCCAAACTGATTTGGGCGAAGGTTGGATTCAAATCGATGGCTCGATTCCGAGAACCCTAAACCCTAGCACCGATTTGGATTTAGGGACGGTGGCTACGCATGAACACGGCAATCAATCTGGAGGTGGAATGCTGCTCCTCCAGCTGGTGAGTGGGTTCTTCTACGCATGAACGCTGCGGCTTCGTGGGCCGTGTCAGTGGCATCAGAAGAAATTTCTGGGCCTTTGGGGAATAAATGGGCCGGTCCTTGTGTATTGGGTCTAGCCGCGGCCTGCGAGAAGAACACGGGGGGCGAGGCGACAGGCGGTGGGCCCACCTCCTGGCACGTGGGGAGGGGAGTGTCCCCACATGTCAGGGAGAGGACGCGTGGCCCGAAACGGGGCAAACGCGAGCGGCGGGAAAAAGGGGAGTCATCAAAGTACGGGCCCCTGTTTGGTTGTGGTAATTACTCATCTCGTCTCCTCCGCTGTTTTTTTTTTTCGCGGCAGCCCCTAGAAAGAAAAGCAAAGGTGCCAAAAGAAAAGGGAAAAGAAAGACCCAACAACAATTGTAGTATGGCTGAATGTTGTTGTATGCCCGTAGGTGTATGGCTGAAAAGCAGTGAAAAATAAGTAAAAGAATAAAAAATAATTTATAGATATATTTATCTATTATCAATTAAAGTAAATGTCTAGAAAATAAACCGTGGTGTAAAATAGCTAAAATCAATTTAAATATATTTTAAAATTAAAATTTGACTGTAACAAGTACTACTACCGTTGCAACCGCCTCCTGATAATATTCGTTAAGCACTGAATGCAAACTAAAATCTTGTTTGATATAACTCCAGATCTTAATTCACGTTGGATTTAAAGTTTGTGTGTTATAATATAGCGTTTTAAAATTTTATATTTCTTCTAAAATAGAAATAAAAATAATTTTCTAAATGTTACTCCGTATTAAGGTAACTATAGATTTATAGAGTTAGAAATATCCGGTTCTAAGAAATTTTGGTTTAAATAGGACCTAAAAATCTCATATTTGAACCAGAAGAGAGCAAAATGCGTGCATTTTTTGCAGTGTTCTTCACAGCGGGTGAAACTAAAACTGGACTACGGCCCTATTTAATTTCCTAAATTCTCGACTTTTCTCATATCACATCACATCGAAAACTTTTCTACACATATAAATTACTAAATTTTTTTCAAACTACTAATTTTCTCCTAACCCCCAACTTTTCCACAATCCACAGCCTACATACACCGAGCAAACACTCCTATGGAAAAAAGAAGTTACTGCTATGCTACCCTCGCAGCAGTAGCAGCAGCAGAGTGAGCGTGGAGGGGAGGAGATCGAGATAGTTCTCACTTTGAGGAGGGACAGAGGTAAAAAAGAAAAAAAGAAAGATTGGAAACAGTGTTGGGTACCGTACGTGCACGGCTACCAACACGAGCCCCTGCTCAGCTGCTCTCTCCTCTCCGGTCGCTCTCCGCTAAAGCCACCCCCTTTGCTGCTGCTGCTGCTCCTGCTCTACCCAAGTTCATAATTTCAGTAAAAATCGGTCGAATTTTACGAAATTTTGATATTTTGATACGGCTCGGAATTAAGTTTTGATTAGAATTTCGAAGATTAAACAGTAAATTTAATCGAAATTTATTAAAATCGATTAAAATTTATCGAAAACCGTAATACTGATGAGGATCAAAATTTAGTGATCAACCGATAATGTAAGCACTAGCTCCACCCTCCGGATCGAAGCGGAGGAGGTGGTAAAAGAAAAAGGGGAGAGAATGTCTGGCCCGGTCAGCGTGCCGCGGTTTGGTTTGGGTGCGTGGTGAAAAGTCTCGGCTTTTGGATTTGATTTCGGCTCCCGCACCAATGCCCACGCTAGCTGCTGCTGTTGCTCCTCTCCTCTCCTCTCCTCTCCTCTGCTCTCCGAGTGAAACTTGCTTCTAGTACCAGCTGCGAGCTTGTTATGTTCCGTTTCTTCCAGCTTTGGTGCTCTCTCAACTCTGAAGAAGAAGAGGTTTTCTCTGTCTAGGAGGGAGAGATTGTGCAGCGAGGTTTCTTTCTCTCACTAGGAGGTTTGAGGTTGCTGGGAGTGGTTACGAAGCTAATTAGGAGCTTTGCCGCTTTGGTTGAGTTTCTTGGTGAGAGGTGAGGAGAGCGTGAGCGAGCTCGCTCTCAGTCTCACGCCTTTTGTGTTGTGTTGTGGAGGAGGAGAAAGGAGGCGGTTTTTTGTTGTTTCTGTCAGCGTTTTCTCGTCAGGTACAGCCTACTATACTTCTTTCGAGTTCATATACCGTGCTGCTCTCGAATTCGGAAGCCCTTTTTTTTCTGCTATCTTGCGAAGCTCCTGTGTGCAAAGTCGAAAAAGTTTGCCGAAGATGAAGTCTTGCTGAAGCTGCCCTGCTTTGCAGCTGCAGTTTCTTGTCAGTTTCCATGGATGAGTAGCATGAACAAGACGCGAGCAGAAAATGGCATCTTCAACCAGTGGAGGAACTCGAGCTCACCCATTTGATCCTGTTCCTTGAGCATTCTATCTCCCAAAGGAGCAATCGCTTCTCCTCTTTCCATGGAGATGATGGCGAGCAAGAACCCTACCAAAACCCTCCTCCTCCTGCTCCTCCTCGTCTTCTTCCTCTCGCTGGCTTGCTCCCAGCCGCTCCACTCGGAGCCCATGTCCACCACCACCACCGCCACCCAGCCCGCGCCACCGCCTCCCCCGCCGCAATCCAAGATTCCCCACGCGGAGGCCGGCGGCGCCGCCCGCCTCCGCCGCATCGTGCTCGGCGTCCTCTTCGGCTCCCTCACTGGCTTCCTCCTCTCCCTCGCCTTCCTCTACGCCATCCGCGTCGCCATCCTCCACGCCAAGTACGCCCCGGCAATCGTCAGGGGCCCCGTCTCCTTCACCCCGCAGATTTCCCCCAAGAACCTCCACTCCGCGCTCCCCTCCGCGCAGCCGCTCGCCCATGGCCCCAACGGCAAGTATTACAAGCTGGTTCTTGACAACGATGTCACCGTCGCCGTCAAGCGGCTCGAGGCTAGCCGCCCTGAGGCCTCGCCGTCGTCGATGCCCAATGTTTCCAAGTCTGACATGAGGAGGGTGCAGAGGCAGCTGGAGTTGCTAGCTCGGGTGAGGCACCAGAATGTGATGGGATTGAAGGCGTATGTCCGGGAAGCCGACCGGCTATCGCTGGCGTACGATTTCGTGCCCGGGGGCAGCCTTGAGGATGTGATGAAGAGGGTGAGGTCTCTGCAGGTGAACCTCAATTGGGATGCAAGGAACAGGATTGCGATTGGAGTGGCCAAGGGATTGAGGTACTTGCATTTTGAGTGCACCCCCCGGATACTGCATTGCAGCCTCAAGCCGTCGAATGTGATGCTAGATGAAGATTTCGAACCGAGATTGGCAGATTGCGGCGTTTCAAGGCTAATTGCATCAGGTTCAGCTGATCCAGAACTGGCCAGCAGCCTTTATTCTGCCCCAGAGTGCTACCAAAGCAGCAGGTAAAATCCATACGTTCACGATTTCTGATCATATTGTTTAGTCTAACAAGCAAGTTTATTCTCTGAATAATTTCATCAATTTTTAGTTTATTCTTGACAATATAACTGAATGTGTTTAGATCGGTCTATGTGGTTTGCACATTTGAACTATTGAGGGGAAACTTAAACATAAATCATTCTTAATTTTGGTATTTTCAGTTCACCTGCTTACAAGCTTCGACATAGCATTATTCTTGAATGCAAGCTAATATTCATATCTTCTCATTTGTTTATATTATGCTCGCGCTGTAAAAGATAGACCTGAGAAAATCTTTAGTAAAATCTGGTTGTATTTTTTCAAAATGATCGTTATGGCATTGGAATTTTTATGGTCCTTGGGAGGTAGCCATAAGCTTATACTTCCTTAGGTTATTTAGAGATTCCTCCTATCGTTAGGCAGTGAGAGGTCTATAGACTAATTAAAACTAGGAGGTATAAATGCCTCTTGATATCTGCCATGAACCTCTGTGAGGATATGAAACAAACAACTCATGGTATTTCATATTTGCAGAACTATCTAGTGTATATGGATGTTTGCTTACTTGCATTGGGTACCTTAGATATAATAATTTTGATAACCAGCATGGAGTGATACATCAGATTAGTTGGTTCTACAATCGCAAACAATAGTACATTTGTTTTGGCAAAACAACCATTCAGAGACTCTTTGATTATAGCTTACATCTGCAGATGCATTCTTTTTTCCACATTTGGCTTTCTTTCCCAACCAGCAGTATCAATCCTTACCTTGTTAATACTGTCCTTTTTTTTTTCTTATATGCATCTCTGTTGCATTTTGTTTCACAAGTCGTTTTCTGATAATGAGTAGTCTTCTAAGCCATTAATTAATGAAAAGGCTCAAACAGAAGACATAAAGCATATAGATAAAGAACGGCCCCATGGCTTAATGTAGGTATCCGACTTTTGCTTTTTGTAACACAAGAATCTTTGCTTTATTAGAGAACCTGCATTTGTCCCTTTTGAAATGCCTTTGATCCTTATGCTTTTCATATATTCCTACGTGCATGCATGTGGTATTTGGTCTGCCCCCAAATTTTAAATTGTTCTTTTTCATTCTGACCTCCCATATCCCCATCAGAGAATAAATACTTTCAGGATTGGCGTTCTGATTCTATATTCTTTTTCTGTTCTCTTTTAGCCAAACCTAGATACGTCATTACTATATTTTTGAAAGTTAATTTCTCGACAAGTGCTTTGTAACCAGACCTGATTCATTCAATGCCCAAGAAGGGCCTGGTTAGTGCTTTATCTTTGTCAAGGTGGATATTATTTCCACCATATATTTTTGTTGTTTCCAACGGATCCAGCGTTAGTTCCAGTTAAAGTTTTTCCATTTCATAGAGGTTCTGCTTATTAGGTCTTACTGCCCCCTTTTAAATTCAAAATATTTGATTGTGCAGATACACAGATAAGAGCGATGTCTACAGTTTTGGCATGATCCTTGGCGTGTTGCTAACTGGGAGAGACCCAACAGATCATTTTTTCTCGGGAGAAACCGGGCGCGGTGGATTAGCTAGATGGCTTCGGCACATGCAACAATCTGGTGACGCAAAAGACGCACTGGATAGTAGTGTCTTAGGAGAGGAAGGGGAAGAAGATGAGATGGTGATGGCTGTTAGGGTTGCTATCATCTGTCTCTCAGATTTACCAGCCGATCGGCCATCCAGTGATGAACTAGTCCCCATGCTCACCCAGCTCCACAGCTTATGATCTCCGTCGAACGCTTCTTCGTAAAGTACTAATCTCTGGATGTTCTTCATCCATGGCACAGTTTCTGAATCATGCTGGAGGGTCAAAACTCAAAACCCTGGATGCACAAACTAGTGTAGCTTTCAGTGTATTCCCTTGGAAGAGCCCATGCTAAATGGCCCACATGGGAGGGGAGCTAACAGTTTTCAGAGGCCAATGTAGGAAGGAAATCTGGTAGGTCTTACTAGTTCAGTTGTCAGTTATGTTGTGTGTTGCAGCTACATGCTGGTGGTTGAGTGAGCCTCATTGTCATGTGATGCTTCTTTGCCCTTACATGATTTGGAGGAGGTAGGCAAGGAAGATGTGAATATTGTGGTGTCTTTGTAGAGAGAAAGCTGTCTTTTTCTTGGATCTATTGCAGACCTGCAGTGGTGGTGGTATGATGATGTGCTTCTGCATTGACCGATCCATCAATTCTATCATGTACTAGCAGTACATCGGCTCCACCCCTTGCCCATGACTTGCTGCAGGAGTGTCGGGGTCCAAACACCATTTTGATGGCATTTTTCTCTTCAGTTCACATGCTCGCCTGTCCAACAGCATTTTGATGGCCATGTATCATGCACAGTCACATTTTGTGTAAAATGTAAGGGCCTGTTTGGAGAGTTTTTGGCAGCTGCGGATTCTGAGAAATCATAGTTGTAGAATAGTTTTCCCAACTTCTCACAATCTGAAAGTTGCTTTTCAGAATCTAAAACTCCCCCAAATTGGCTCTGTAAATCTCCTTTGGCATGGGAAAATTTCATTGGAAACCTAGGAGTACTCTTCCTATGCTTAGCTTAGCATGTCTGCATGTGTAACTTGTGTTGTTGAGCATGAGGAGAGGAGCCTACTACTAGTATGTTGACAAGAATCCAATGTGAAATGAAATTGTGAACCTGAACAAACGTTGAGCATCTTTTTTTTTCCCTTGCCTGTCTTTCTCTTGCTTATCTCTAAAACTCTGACCAAGGGTTGCAATGTGTAGTAAGCAGTGGCTATATTTAGTTCGCGCCAAAATTGAAAAATTGATTGAAATTGGAACGATGTGATGGAAAAGTTGGAAGTTTGTGTGTGTAAGTTTTTATGTGATGAAAAAGTTGAAAGTTTGAACTAAACACGGCCGAAGTTTTTAGAGTAGCATAGTACTAGTAATTGAGAGAGCTTTTACTGCAACCTAACCTAGTAGGAGTAGTTCACTATTTTGCCTGCATCATATCCTGCAGCTTGCATTGGCTGGGCCTGCTGCAATGCGATGCAAGGCAGGCCTGTGGGCCTCTCATGGCAGAAGAAGAAATGAAGAGAGAGTGGTTTGGCTGCTGTTTGTTTTGCGGTCAGCTTTCCATTGCTTTGGCACTTCTGCTGTTCTGCATTGCAGTGCAGGCGAAGGCGGCAGAAAGACGGAACTCCACAGTGAAAGGCAGGCAGTCCGGAGAAGGGCATTGCCGCATTGCCATTGACATGGAGTAGTACGTTCCTAGTACTGGTAGTACTTCTCTTTCTTTGCATTGGGGGCATTATGCTATTGAGATAGTAATGGAGATGTGCTGATATATGCTCACTGGGAAAAAAAAAACTGCACGGATATTAAAGCTGATCAGTGTTGCAGATTAAAAAGTTACTCTAGTACTTAGTACGTCAGCACAGATATTAAAGCTCATCAGTGGTGCAGATTACTCCTTTTTCATACTACTTTACGTTTTAGTTGTTTTTTAGGGTGAATAGCCATTTCACACAGTTTCATGGGAGAATGACTTGGCATACTTACGTGGCATATTTTGTGGGTCGAAGGATTATGTTAACCTAAATAATTAATTTGGATGACTTGTTCAGACGATTTAAAACCTCATGGACTAAATTGTTCGCTTCAGGACCGTATTAGCTATTCACCCTTTTTTTTAAGTCAAATTTTTCTAACTTTAACAATCGATTCCTAAAAAAAATTAACATGTGAATAACTCATGGTTACAAATATATTTCTCATAGTTAATCTAAAAACATAAATTTTACAATATTAAACTATACAAACTTCTAAGAATTGATGGTAAACATTAGTAATGTTTGACTCGTGACAAAGCTAAAACAATAAGTACTTTTCTTCTAGAAAACACAACACAAATACAAGTGCCCACAACATGTGTACGCTCACCCATGTGGAGACGTACATACACACATCCTATCCTTATAAACACCTTCGAAAGACTGGACCATCATATCTCGAGATTGATGAAGTCTCCACGGATACCTCACTATCGACGAGTATGTCGTCTACCAAACTACCAATGAAAGAATAATTAACCGTAAATGCAAGTGTTGATCTCAACTGGGCTGGTTCCAAAAAAACCTAATCTCTACTACTTAAAAAATAAGAGGTGCTTCCATCGTCCGTCAAAAAAACTGAGCGAAAAAACCGAGCGAAAAAACCGGGAGAAAAAAAAATGTCCGATCCAAAAAAAAGATGTCCGATCCAAAAAATATGAACCGGGCAAAAAAAACCGAGCAAAAAAACACATATAAAAAAACGTCTGATCAAAAAAAAAGGAGAAAAAAATGTCCGATCCAAAAAAAAGAGCGAAAAAAAGGACAAAAAAAAACAAATCTATCCGATCCAAAAATAATACGGGGCAAAAAAACGAAACGAATCAGTAAAAAAAGCATTTTTTTTTAAAAAAAACTGTCCGATTCCAAAGAAAAAGGAATTATATGTGACGCGGTAAAAAAAATCGAATCCTATTATACCTAGAAAGGTCCGACACTATAATAAAGTGGTGAAAAAAAACCATTCGTAAAAAAATGCACGATAAAAAAAAGGGCGGAAAAAAGCGCGGTGAAAAAAAGTCTAATTTATATTTATCATTTTAGTAGTCCGTTTATATCTCTTCTTTATCTCTAATCTAATCTAATATAACTATTTAAAAAGAGAAGTTTCTACCATATATTAAAAAATAAAAAATGCGCGAGAAAATAAAAACGGTTTAAAAAACGCGTGAAGGAAAAAATGTCAGAAAAAAATCGCAAAAGAAAACGCGCTAGAAAAAAAGTTCCGTAGTCCGTAAAAAACACGCGAGAAAAAAAATATTTCCATCGTCTGTAAAAAAGCAAAAAACTATTAGAAAAAAAGGCTAAATTGATGGACACTTGGTCGGATAGGCTCCATCGACTTTTTTCCATCTCCTACACGACTTTTGTTTCGTTATCTATTCTCCTATATTAGAGAGCCTGCACATCTTTGTAGGCAATTATCATAATATTTTTGTGAAGTATAGCTATTATTCTTGATAACATATTATATATAAATAATCTTAGAAAATAAATATATTCTAATTGTTATTTAGAGAAGAGTGCATAGTGACTCTATTTTGTGTAGACTTGACCATACGAGACAGTGTATGATTTGATTGGTTGCAAGAATGAGATTAAAAGAATATTTTAGATTATATGCATGTTGTTATATGAATAATCCAATTATTTTAGGTAAAGCAAATATCGTAAGGTTGCCATCATGGAGGTTGGGCTATTACATTTAAGCTGTTCCAATTTTCTAATTTTCTAATTGTCATCGACATGGTTATGCATGAACAACGTATATTATCATTACGTTTTTTCACCCGTTGCAACGCACGGGCATGTTTGCTAGTAGAATAAAAATAAGGGAGTAAAAGTTAACCCCTATCACTTTATCAGATAGTCGAAAATAGCCCTGCCTCATATGTTTTCTCTGCTTTTTTAAAGAGGAAAAGAAAAACGTTCGGATAGTCGAAGAAGGTTTTTGCTGCAGTACAGTAGCGATGGTACACGAGGCACAGCGCAATGGGCCAAGGCAGCACAGCAGCGCAGTGAAGCGAGCGAGGAGGGGGGCCCACCCACCGGCCCAAGCTAAGCGAGGACGGCGTGGCGGTGAGCTGCAGCGTGTGTGGGCCAGGGCCTCCTCCGCCTCTCTCCCACCCGTGACTCCTCCTCGGGCGTCGCTTAGACTTTCTTTTGCTTTTGGATGGTGTACGGCCCACCACGACCCATCCGGATGGACGGCCCCGATCCACCAACGCGGCGCGAATCTCGAGGCCGATGGGCTTTTCGGACCGTACGATGGATGGGTGGTCGACGAGGTGACTGGCCTTGTCGCAGAGAGGGGGTGTGGGTGTGTCAGTGCAACTCAGTAGTGGGCCTCCATGGCCCATGCCAGATGGGGCCCATCTCTCTCTCTCTCACTCACTCTCTGCTACGACTGCAAGTCTGCGATGCCTGCGTCTCTGCTCGAATCGATGGATGGATGGATGTGCTTGGGCGCTGCTGAGCTCGTGATCATTAGGCTCCGGTTAATTATGACAAAACACTATTACTGTCTATACTGATTAGTAGTACTACGTACTCCTACTAAGTAGTACTCCTATGGTATTTGGAGTATTTTGAGAGCAAATCAAAGCCATTTTGGAATCAAGAATAGATCCAAACTTATCGCTGCAAATTGACAACCACCTGTGAGATTTTCTTTTAGCTGGTGCTTCCGTGAACTTATCTGATGCAGACGTATGGAGTATTGGAGCACTACTGTACTATACAACTACAGTACTACTGTAGACTGTAGTAAGGCCGGCTTGTTTGTTCATGTAGCTACAACTTTCTCATTTTCTGTTAGCAGGGTTCCTAAATTGCTAGGTCAATTTTTTTTAAAAAAAAACTTTTTATGTAGAAGTCTTTTTTTAAAAAAAAAACGAACATGCACTGATATCTTAATCATGTTTAATGTGTAATCCAGTTAAAAAAGCTAACCGCCACCTCTCGCTAGAACTGAGCTAGTGCTCCCTTCCAGCAAGACGCGTGATCTGATGAATGTTCTTTGCTGTCTCTGTGTTCTTGCGTGTGAACTTTCACTTCACGGGGAGGAGGCCGTTTTTACTTTAACCGCTCGACGACCACTGGCCGGGGAATTATCCCCACGCGGTCAATTCATAGATTTCGAGTCGCCACCTCAGGCGATCCCTCCATAAAATTTTTCACCACGTCACATCAAAGATTTAAACACCTGATATTTAGTATTAAATATAGCCTAAAAAGTAACTAATTATACATATTGTGATTAATTTAAGAGACGGATATTTTAAACCTAATTATTCTATGATTTGACAATGTGGTGCCACAGTAAACATTTGCTAATGACAGATTAATTATACTTAATAAATTCGTCTCGTGATTTACTTGCGGATTTTGTGATTAGTTTTTTTATTAGTGCCCGAACAACCCATACGATACCCTATATAATACCCAATATGACACGTCAAAACTTTACGCACTGAATCTAAACACCCCTCAATTTTCCATAATATATACTCCTACTTCAGCATTATGTATCTGGGTCTCCATTCCTCCTAGTCGTAGCTGACTTAAAAAATAACTACTACCAGCTGTTATTTTTCCTTTTTATAAGTGTATTTATCAAGGAAAACACCAAGTTTATTCCTTTCATGTTACAGTTGGTCAGAAACTGGTCGTTGAAATAGAGAGGACCTAATTGAGCTATAGCTCCATGACTTGCAGTTTTCACAACACACCACACTTCTCTGTCTGAATGAACCTTCCTAGGTTTAGACCTAGTCTTCATCTAAAGCTCAAACCTACAAATGATGAAAGTGACTTTTTTTAACGTTTTTCATTTTTTTTTTCTTTATCGAAGGATAGTTTTGCAGCTAGCAAATGCTGCATCCATTCCCAAGTATAAGGGTTTTGGCTACACGCTATTTTAGAACTAAGATAGCAAGTATTAGCAAGTACACATCAACCGAGAAGTCATCGTGAAAGTACTTAGAAAATAATGTTGTGTCAATCCAGGTGCATAACTAAAATATCTCATATTTCCAAATGTTAGACGGTGATAAG